CATAGCTATAAATTACAATAACTGAAGAAAAACCAATATTAAATTCCAGTTAGATATTGCTGCAAGGTAATGCCCCCAGTGTAAAGTATCTTTTGGTAAAAAGGAATAGTAGCAAGTTTGTTGTTGTTGTTAAGTGCTGTCGAGTTGATTCCTGTATAGGGTTTCCAAGGAGCAGTTGTGAGCTTGAACCACCGACCTTGAAGTTCAAACGACTTTGCAGTCTGGCACATTAACCCACAGCGCCACACCAGGAATAGCAAGTTTAAGGAGTTATTAATGGTACAGCATTGAACTGAGACTTTTTCCTCAACAGTACCAAGAAAACTACAAGGGGAATGAAAACGGTACAACTTTCCACCATATTCATCAATATTACCAAAGGCCATGCTGTCCTGAGCCTCCTAAATGGGTACACATCCCATTAGGTGTCAATACTGTTGTAGGTTACAATGCATTCTCAGAATAAATAATTGAATATAACGAGAATTGCTGATAAACTCTACAATGTATAAAATTCCTCTCAGGATTTTTGTGAAATGCCTGTAGAATATTCATCATCCTTTACAGACTTTTTGAATTTTACTGGAATATTATTTCCCAAAATAAAAACTGCTTACACAGATAGCTTGTGTACTGATTTAAAAAAACTCACCATTTACAATACCTTTTTAGCTTACACTATTCATTTTGACTGATAAATTCTATTTCTATATCTTTTTCTTCTTTGTAATGAGCTTATTTTCTTGATTAAATATAATAATATGATAATATCTTACTGTAATGATTTCTGAAAATATATATGTATAGTGCAATTTTGACATTTCTAGTCAAATGAGAACACTTTTCTAGAAAGTCATCTTTGGTCAATATTGACTGTTTCATTGCTTTTCAGAAAGCTCATAAAAACTCATTACAATACAGTCTACATTAAGAGATTGTGTTCAGTTCATGATTTCTTCTTGTGCCCTAATGGCAGCAGTCAGTGATTACATTTGATATTTATGTTACATATAAATGTGAACATGGCTAAATCTTTCAGTCTTGGAAATCAAGTCATACAGCATTGTTAATTTTGGTAAAAATCAAGAGGTAGGTGTTTGCTCTCAGTACCACTTAACCTAAAAAAAGAAAACACTTATTTCTTTTGCTGTAGAGTGAACGGGGGTATAAACCAAACCAAAAAATAAAAATGTTATTCATCTGTAATTAAAGCCCCTTTGTAACTATCCATTACCACCTCAACACTTATAGGATAAATTAATAGTATATATTTTTAAATGGGCAAAATCAACAAAGAAGTAGCCAGGGTTGCATCTAATTTATCAACTCGGTGATTAAAGGGCTAGCTCAAGAGGCTCCAGACATCTAGGGACCAAGAGATAAAACGGAGCAGTTGGCTGTGTTTTTACTAATGAATCTAGGGCTTGAAAGATATCAGGCAATTTTAAAGAAAAGCAGCAAGGACAAGAGACATTAGACAAGGCCAGTAGGGTAATGAAGGGCAAGGCCAGTTACTGAGAGAGAAAATTACTTCATTTTCTGTGATAATGCTTCTGCGTGCTTGGCAGGTCTCTTCTGGCGCTTTGTTAGTATGAGTCTGTATATGTACAGCATCGTAATGCTACTTACAATGAACAGGGAAGAGCCTTGGAACATTCTACAGAGGGCTTGGGTCTCTAATTCTGAAAGGGGGAGGTTAAGAACAATGGTAGCAGTAGGGGGTTAGATGGCCAGGTGAGGGACAGTGCTTTGACAGAATGTGAGGGACGAACAGGATTAAATCAATAAGAAAGACACAGCAAGAAAAACAAAGAAAAAGACAACAAGCAAACATACTCTGGAAATGTGGAATTGTTTGGGGGGCAGGGGCGTGTTGGGTCAGAGAATGAGAGCAGCGCAGTGGCGCTCAGCCGTCTGCAGAGCTGTGAGCCAGTTTGTTCAACGGTCTTTCTTCTGTGGCCAAAATAAAAAGGGCACCAAGCACTTGACTCCTCCTCAGCTGGTCAGCGGACACATTTTCTACTAAGCAGAGAAATGTGAGGTATTTCAGAAACAATTCCAGAGTATATTTAGCTCCAAAAGCTGAGGCACACAAATGTCACATTCCCATGAGACAATTGACCCAATGAAAAGAGCACCTGTCAGAGGCCCTCAGAAAACCCATGAAACTTGCATCACAGGAGATGCTGCACACACGGATGTGACATCATCAAGGCTTCAACGTCAGGGAATGAAAAGAAGCAAGGGAGTCACAGATTGCTTCAAGTTCAGGAACATCGTAATGAGTCAGAAAAGAAACAAGACTTTTCCAAGGGAATAACACAACCACCAAGCCATATGACACAGTGCTTGGCAAAATGAAACAAAAGCTTAAAGTAAATCTTGAACATAAACAGGAAAACAATTCATAGCAAAATGGAATCAAAATCATAAAAGTCATGGTAAAAGGAACATTAAGCTACATTAAGAACAAAAATTCTGCATAACAACTCATTGGCATTGCCCAATCAAAGTGCATAAATAATGTCGAAAGTCAGACTCAGATTTGACAGGGCAAGGCAAGGAGTTAAGAACACAAGAGCAGTGATCATGTCGAACACCCATGCAATCACCTCTGCCACCATTGTTTGACAATATGTAGACTGCTTCCAGCGTTGTCAGTATTCATAATAAGACCCAGGAAATTATGAACAATGTTAAATTTCAAAATGATCAGTCAAAGTGTTAATTGGACTCTTTGATAACCTCCATTCCTTAGGGGACTTAATTATTGGAGAAAATTCACAACCCCTATCAGTGAGGTGAAGAGAAAAATCATTGGAGCCAGCGGCTAGATATTAGGTTGACACGGTTAATATTTTACAGGGAAAGCTGTTTTGTTTTGGTTAGTTTGCTTATTTTGGTTTTCCCCATAAAGCTGCAGTGTGCAAACACAGTAATTTCTTGAGAAACCAGTTAAGACTAACACATCTGAGGTCTGGAACCACACATAACAAATAAGGGCACATGCTAGGGCTTATAACTAGTGGAGGCAGTTCCCTAAGCCCATCACAAATCAGAATGGTACTCTCTCAGCAAATAGAGGGCCCTCTCAAACTTAAAGAGGCTGAGGAGACAAACTCTATTCTGCCCACCTCTGTGTTATTTTTAAAAAATATTTGGAGCAGAGCTTACTAATAAAAGAAGTCTATAGAAGAATAATGCCATGGGCTGCTAAAAGAACAAACAGATCTGTGCTGGAAGAAATGCAGCCAGAGTGCTCCTTGGAGGCTAGGATAGCCAGACTTTGTCTCTCATACTTCAGACATTGTCAGGAGGGACCAGTCACTGGAGAAGGATATCATGTTTGGTACGGTGGAGCGTCAGAGAAAAAGAGAAGACCCCCAGCAAGATGGACTGGCAAAGTGGCAGCATCGATGGACTCAAGCATGGCGACAATTGTGAGGTTGGCCCAGGACCGGGCAGTGTTTCGTTCTGTTGTACATAGGGTTGCTATGAGTCAGTACCGACTCAATGGCACCTAACAACAACAACTCAAGAATAAGAGTCCTGATGTGGCACTGGCTAATGCGCTGGACTGCGAAGTTTGTTTGAACTGCCAGGTCGGTGGTTCAAACTCACCAGCTGCTCCTTGGAAAACCTACACCTGGTTGCTATGGGTCAGAGCTGCACTTAACAACAACAACACTCAAGAATAAGCCCCCCCCCCCCACTGAACAACAAAAATATAAACAGAAAAAAAAAAAAAAAAAAAACTTAAAAACTAAATCAGTTGCTGTTGACTGAGCTAATGCCAACACATGGCATCAAGGCTGTGATCTTTCAAAAGCAGATCACAGGTCTTTCTTTGGAGGCACCTCCAAAGGTTGGTTGAATCGCCCACCTTTTGGTTAGTACTTAACCATCTGTGCCATCCAGAGATTCCCCAAGAAGAAGACAAAAGGGGTTAAATCTTTACATTTTGGCTTGGCGAGTAGAGCTTTTCATGGGCTGAGGAGTGAAAAAGGGGAGGAAATTGAGCATGAACTAAACAGTGTATAAAAGTGAAGATGGAAATATGTATGCAGACAACCTTGGGGTGGGAGTGATAAAACTGTCTGCTAAGGTCACGGTGGCTGCTCTGGCCTTGAGACTCAGACCCTCACTTGGATGAAACTCTTGAAAACATATAGAAGTAAACAATTCTGAATGGGGGGAAACAGCTCAGTAACATAACTGGTCTTTTCAGTCTCTGATTTGCAAGACTGTTTTTTGGACAAGTAAAGGCCTCTTTGGTTGCAGCTGCTACTAAAGTAGGATGTGTTACCAGAAGCAGCAAATGGCGAGAAAAGAGATGACATTTCCTGTCTCTAGTTAAGCAAAGAAAGCAAGGGAGAATTTAGGACAGTTCACAGTGGAGTCCCTTTCATTTAGTGTGGCTTCCTTTCCGTTTTAAATGCATAGCAATTCTGCCTGATTAAATAACATATTTTTGTTTTAGCTGTTGTACTCTAAGGGCAATTACAGTACGTCTGAGGACCACGGAGCTATTCAAATTCAGCACCATGCGAGAGGGAGAGATGCTACCAGCCAGAAAAGACTTTGCCCTGCTATTTCTTAATTCAGTGATTAAAGGGCCTTTACTTAGATGACATTCACTTGCCAAAGCCCCCACTGTGCTCCCTTACATTATGGTGGGAAAACAGGGCCCCCAAATCACAGAATGAGACTAAGAGGAGTGGAAAGGAATCACAGGAGCCAGCATCTACTTAGCGCCAAGCCATGCCTCTTTTGGGTGGAGGAAGCTTAGAAGATGTGTTATTTGTTTTGTGTGGTTTCTCCTTAGTTAGAGAATCGTTTAGGATCAAGCCTAGTACAGACTTGTCTTTTGGTCTGTTTTGATGACAGCGCATAGGGGAGGTTCCTTTAGTGCGACCCTGATTCAGCTGGAAGCAGCTACATAGTCCTCCCCGCTTTTCCCTCCCTCTCCCCCAGAGGAAGAGGCTTTTCCAAGGCCTTACCCTTCTTGTCTTGGTGATTATGGGAAGACACTGCCCCCAAAGGGTCTGTGCTGTCAGGTGAATTGAGCAGATCCTTCCAGTCCAGCATTCCTTCCCTAGACTCATACCCCTCTTGAGCCGTGGAGTCTGACGTGGTGGTGCTGGGCAAGAGGGAACTGGAATGCCCTGTTGTCATCACAAATACAGTTAGGAAAACATCACCGGAAAGACCCACCATCTTTCTCATCAAAAGCCAGGAGGGCAGAACCCAAGGCCAAAATTCTGAAAGATCACCCTAGAAATGACAAGGCTTAGCAAGGTGGGTTCAGTGGAAGGATGTCAAGCCAGATCCTATCTATTACTTAGTGGGCAAGCCTTGGGGAATCACTTAACCTCTCTCTGCCTGATTTTCCTCTTGTACAAAATGGAAATGGTGACACTTACCTGCTAGAGTACTTGGGAGGATAAATAATGTGTGAAAGGAAAGCAGTATCTGGCACAGAGGTGCACAAAGAATATTGGTGTTTTTCTGGGCTAGTCCCCTGCAGCATGAAAGGTAGATATAACTCCACTCCTGAGACATTGCACATGACTGATGGGGGTGGATTTATAATAGAGGAAATGCCTCTTGCATGTCACAAACAGCTCAGCTATACCAACTATTTCTCATGGATGCTTGAATGTGTTTCTAGTCTTCAGCTTCAACTCAACTCCATGGAAATTTCCCTTTGTTTGGGATGGAGGTCTTATTGCTACAACTGGGGGTGGCTGTGTCTTTTTCTATCTTATCCCAATAAAGGTGGTTTTGTTGTTTCTCGACCCATATACTTAACTAAGGTGTTGTGACACCTCACTAACATTAATGAATGGATATATTTTTGAGGCCCAAAATAAGGCAATCACAGAAGAAGGATGCTTAGATTGGGAATTAAGGTAGAAACCCTGGCCATTTCTTGTGACTATCTCTCTAAACTCGTCCTCTGTCATGCTGCCAGGGTGAATGCAGTTTGTATCAGGTGATTTGATCTCAGCTGTCCCAGGGATTTCAGGAAGGCTGACTACTTGCTTTATCTGATAGAAATGAAATTCAACTGCTTGTTCAAGAAGACTCTTTGGTTTAATAAACCACCTTACTGCTAGTAACTTCTTGGACATTTTTTACAAAGACATTAGGGTAACTTCTGTGAATGAGCAACTGATGCCTTTGTAGAAAGTAGGGCAAATTTACAATAACACCAAAGGGTTCCAGCCTTCGACTATGATCACCATGTACATGATAAATAAAATTCTGGCCACCAGAAAGAAAGGATTCTGATGATACATGCACTAGATTCTTCTCTTTCTAACCTATTATTGGAAACTTAGCAGGAGGCTTTAATATAGTAAGTTAAAGACAATATTAAGTAGAGAGAGAGAGATTTTTATCTTCTAAAAATTTTGCTTAGTAAGAAAAATCAAGCCAAAGGATTTTGTTGATAGCACGCAAGAAGACCCTTTTTTGACCTCCCATACAGTTTCCAACATCCACTGTGTTGCAAATAAGTATGGCTCATATGCAACTGCTAAAAATGCATCCATTTAAAACTGAAGGAAAGAGCTTAGAGATAGACTTTTTGTATTTATAATTCTGGATTTCGAAGCTCATCTGAAAATAATGATAAGAAGAATTAGCCTAAGAAATGGAAATTTGAAAATATCCTGTAAGTCCTTTCTGTTTGTACTGAAGTCTAAAACATAGGCTGTATTTTCCTCTCCTGAGTTCAAGACTGTTCTAATGAAATATATGGTCTGCCTAAGAGAGATTTCAGCACTCAGCCTAAGCAAATAAGTAGCAATAGCATTGTACGGAGAGAGAAAGAGAAAAAAGAAGGGAAAAAAAAGAAACACCAGAAAGCCTTCCCTCCAAGTAGCAAGAATTTCTTTGACCTGAATTGATATGCATTTTGAGCACTTTCAATTTAACTGTGTTCAAGGGGCAATTTTATGGTAATGCCGTAAGTATGGTTTAGGGAGAACATTTCTTAATACGGTAATCTAGGGGAAATATATGCCTAAGGGACACATTCTCTGTAGAAAGATTTCCTGGACCATATGCTACAAATACATGGGAAACTTCGCTGGTAATGGAAAGCTATGGCTATGAGAGGAAATTAATGTGGACCAGATGGTAGTTAGGTAGGGAAATATTTTACACAAATGTGAGAAATCAGTCTCTTCTCCCTATCATTGAAGTGTTAGTCTAATACCCACCACATCTACATTTCCTATATGTAAATCTAGAGAAACGATGCATCCGATTTACTGAGAAAAAAATAAAACAAAAAAGGGAGAGCAACATGAAACTTGTAATCTTTCAAACTTAACGCTTGACAATAGGGAGCATGTCTTGGGGTGAGTTAAACAGTTGGAGAAAGCAATATCTGATTCTCAACAATTTTAGAACCACCGTGTATAAGCTCCACTAAGCAGCAGCCCTTAGTTTAAAAGTCAGTCAGCAAAGATTTGTATTATTCCTTCTCCAATCTTAAAACAGGTTAAACCTTCTTTTACCTTACTTTTATAGGTTATCTTATTTTCACACATTCTCAAAGAGACATTTTTGCAACAAAATAATGCTACAAAAAATACCATTTGTGGATATGATATTACATGTAAATACAGATTTGGAACCTTTAATTTTAATTGTTCATCTAATAAGAAAGGCAATGTTCTAATCAACAGTGCTATAACATACAAAGATATAGATACATTTTAAAAGTTAACTTTGATATGCATCATATTGTTTCTCTGTATTTCTACAAATTTTTGTGGAAATCATTGTGATTTCTACAGGAGATTTCATATGATTTCTACAAATCATTGTGATTCCAAAGGTTAGAGACCCTTCAAGCTACTGTAACCTATTAACAACCCTGTAGCCCAATTAGACACAAAGAAGAGACACTAAATCAATACAAGAGAAAAGGAAAGAAGGAAAATAATCAGGGTCCAATTCACTAAAAAAGGTGTTCTTGCATATTTAACTGGCATTGCACAGAACTTTTGCCAAGCAGGAAATCTACATGGTGTATTGAAATGATCCATTTTTGTGAGTTGGGCAGTTCACAGTCTGCGGTTCACTCTTAGGACTACACTGAACTACTGAGTGGATTCTTTGGGGACATTCGAAGGACATAGTTAGAAACAAAATGGACACTTCGGACTTTAAACCAGCTTCCAAGCCAGGCTTTTAAAATAACAATCTGGTCTTCATGTGATGCTGCAAACCTACTATAGTACCTGGGATGTAGTGGACACTAAACAAGTATTTGCTGAATGAATTACTTAAATCTATTGTGGGTCTATGGATTCCAGAATAAGTCCCTCAGATGGCATAGTGGTTTAAGGACTCAGATGTGGCTGGAACTCAACAGCAGCTCTGTGGGAGAAAACACCTAGTGATATGCCCATGGAAGGATTTCAGTTTAGGAAATCCTATGTAAATTGTACTCTGTCTTACTAGATGGCACACAAAAAGAGCAACAGGAGCAACAATTCCAAAATAAACACTCAGAATAATTTCTTGGGTGGAAAAAAAAGTCACTTATTTTTTTTCTAAATACTGTCGGGACCAGCTCTCACGTTGATGATCCATTTTGATGAAATGGACAGATCATTTACTGAAAGGAAAATTCCAACTCATCTTTAGTTTCAACACAAACTAAAGCTGACAAAGAGCTGGGCAATGTCCTTTAAAGTGTTAATATGAAATAATTAATGAGTCCGTTCCTTTTGTAAAGGAAATAAGAGATCATAGCTTGGGGAGTGAGTTTTGTTCACAGAGAGCATCTCATGGTTTAATTATATGAGAAATTACCTGGGAGTTAAACTGGTCTTGGTATGATTGATGAATGCTGGGGAGGTTACTGCTTCAATTAGATTCAAGATTTCAATTTCTCAATATCTGATAAAGGTTATTCAATTATAGGAACGGATTGCAAAGCATGATATTGGAGAGCAGCAGATGCTAAGTGAGTTTTCTTTCTGAAGGGCGGATAAACTAGATGACATTTGTTTCTTGAACAATGTTTAGTCTTTGATGTTCAATACTCTGGTTTGAAACACAGATCAGAGAATGTTAAAGATGGACTGACTCAGTAGGCTCATCTAATCCACACTTCCTCTTGCCATGAGTGGGCCGATTAGAGAAATCAAGCATTGTGCTCCATATCTGTACTAATTAGACACAGAGTATGAGTTTGCATAGAACTATAGAATGCATTTGCAACCATCTTGAAATACTTCCCTGCATCCTAAATCTGCTTTTCTGTTTCTTTGCTATAGTCTTCTTCCCTCCTTTATTATCTATCCCTATGTTTAAATAAAAGGAGCTCTGTCAGCATAGTGGTTACGAGTCGGGCTACTAACCTCAAGGTCAGCAGTTCGAAACAACCAGTGGTTCCACAGGAAAAAGACGAGGCTTTCTGCTCCTGTAAAGATTTCTAGCCTCGGAAACCCTATGCAGGGTCGCTATGAGTCAGAATTAGCTCCAAGGCACACCACCACGTTTAAATAAAGGTGAGCCTGACACTTCTACACGATTACATATTTTAAACATGCAAACTATGAATTATCTACATGTCAATGAAATCCATCGTCTCCATCTAACATAGAAGCTGAAATTATCATGAAACATATGTTTTTCACATTATATTTAAAAAACACATGAAGTTTAACCTAATAAATACTTGGGATGGGGTACTTTTAGAAATGTAAATAGAACAGCTACATTTCAACTCTTCTTATAAAGAGCTCAGATATTTTGTTTATGGACTTTATGGGCTTTGTTTAATATAGTGTCTGTTTGTTTCAGAACAAGAACAATGGGCTAAATCCTGTTTGCCCATCATTTCCACTGCGTCACTCTTCCTTGTATATGTTCTAAAGAAATTACACTGAAAACCTATCTAAATAGTCATAGTCTCATAAACTTAAATTTTGATAGCGAAAGCAAGGTCTGGGGGTTCAAACTCATCAGCCACTCCTTGAAAACCCTTTATAGGGTTGCTGTGAGCCACTCCTTGAAAACCCTTTATAGGGTTGCTATGAGTCAGCACCGACTTGACAACAACAACAATCTCATGTTAAACTGGAGATTTTTGCCTAATAAGAGCCACACCTCTATACCCTGTATAGATTTTCCCTATATTGTTTTAAAAATCAGAATTTTGGTGCATGGTATCCCAAATCAGCTAAGGAGCTACTGCCTGTAAGTATTCAGTATTATTTTTTTCTCTAGGATTTACTCATGTCCAAAAACAATTTCCTCTCCCTCAAGAATTCATTAAATACATTCACCAAATTCCCAAAGGTTGATCTATTTCATATTATAAAGATTAAAAATTTAGTACTCGGTTTCATACATCAAAGGTCTCATAGAGGTAGTGATTTTTGGAGCATTAGTGAAATCTAGAAATACTTTTAGTGAATTGGGGTCCTGAAGAATCTGGTCCATAATGTTTAGGAATGAAAACTATAAACTACTACAGGATGGAGTCACTTGAAAAGTTAAAAAGAGAAAGAAATACAGAAAGAAAGAAAACCATAAACTGACCATACACTGTGTTGTAAGACATTTCATGATCTGGTAGAGGAGTTGAAATGTCTATAAAAAAAATAATGAGGATAAAAAAATTAATTAAAGAAGAAAGCCACGGTTTTGAAAATACTCAAGAGGATTAGATTAGTGAAACAGAATTTCCCAAATAGATTTTCACTGATATTAAATTATGAGAATAATATCTTCCTTACCATTCAGGGCCACGAAGGAATCTGAAAGACAAAAGGGAGGAGAAAATTACTTAATGCTTAGGTGACTTACATACTAAGTAGGAATGAGCTAATACAGAACTCTACTAACATATGATCCCCATAACTATGTAAAAGCTCTTTAATTCCTGCTTGTAGTGTAAGATGCTTTATACTCTGTCCAATTCTTGTTTCTGCCTTCACACCTCCATTATCTCTTCCACCAAGTGAGCTACCTTAAAGACAGTACCTTTGCCAAAAAGCAAAGAAATAGCAAGAGTTGCAGGAGGAATGGTAGCTATGAATAGAGGTGATTCTGAGACTGTCAGCCTTATCCCCGGGGATGTGTGTGGAGACAACAGAAATAACATGTGGGCCATGCTTACAAAGCAATTTTTCATCACACTCTCTCATTGCCTCCTTATAACCATGCCATAAGGACCTGTGCCGTACGTATCACAATATTCTGAATCTGACTGCTGTTTTTTCTTGGTAATTAAAAATAAATAAATAAAACAATCACACACACATGGATCTGTCTGTGCTGTGTGTCTTGGTCAGATTATTCAGTCCATGACTGTGGCTCTTATGACCTCAGTTCTTAAAATGCTGTTAAAAATGTGTTATATGCAAATTATCTAAATCTCTAAATTATCTGATAGAAGGGTTTCATATTCCAGCAGGAGCATGGAACGGGGAGAAGCCACTGGGAAAGGCGAGTATACAAACAGTCATCTTTGGATAGTTGGTGGGGCTAAAGGTTAAAGGTTAGGGGCATTGGATTTAGGAACTTGACAGTTGAAAACCCTAGAGATCAAGTGCAAATTAGTGACTTTGAGTCTAAGGGGTTCCCCTATGCTAGAACAGAGATTAATTCTTTAGTTTACTCTGCCTGAGGACAGCGATGTGGGTGTAGTGAAGTGGATGCTTTGTAGAGAGAGCAGCAATCATTTTAAAAACTAAATGCCTTTGAGTCAGTTCTAACTCACAGTGACCCTGTATAGGGTTTTCAAGGAGCAAATGATAGGTTTGAACCATGAGGCTTGTGGTTAACAGTCCAGTGCATCATACAATGCCACACCAAGAGTCATAAATACACTCATATATTCTATACCTACCTATACTCCTATTGTTATATAGATGCCCATACCACTGGATTATAAAAATGGGATAAAGATGATTCACTAAAGTCAGCAAATTAAGTTTACTCAAACACATATAATCCAAAACGTATTTGCTTGAAAACGGAATTATTAAGGCTCCAAAAGTCTGGTCAAATAACCATAATGTGTAAATGATATAGGTAAAGGACTTTTGATGATGACACTGTATCCTATGTTCATTTCTTAACTCCTACATTTTGTGTGTGAAGACATAATAAATATCAATTTTGTCTGACAATATATAATATTGGTTAAAAATGCAAACATGTTATTGTTGTTAAGTGCTGCGAGTTGGTTCTGACTCACAGCGACCCTGTGTAGGGTTTCCCAGGAGTGATGGGGATTTGAACTGCCAATCTTGGCAATCTTGCAGTTAGTAGTCCAATACTTATCCTACAGTATCACACCAAGACCATACATGTTTGGAAGACCGTATAAACATAGGGAATCTATGAAAACCTTATGCAGGGTCACTAAGAGTTTGAACCTACTCAGTGGTGCTTATCAATACATAGATAGGTAGATAGATGGTAGAAAGATATAAGTATGGCAATACAGGAATATAGGAATATTGGTATAGGAGTCCTGGTGGGTTAATGTGCTGGCACTGTGGATTAATGCACTGGACTGAAAAGTCAGTTTGAACCTCAAAGTCTGTGGTTCAAGCTTACCAGCTACTTCTAGGAAACCCTATACAGGGTTGCTATAAGGAGCTCTGGTAGTGTAGTGGTTACGAATCGGGCTGCGAACCTTAAGGTCAGCGGTTCAAAACTACCAGCCGCTCCGCGGGAGAAAGATGAGGCTTTCTACTCCCGTAAAGATTTACACCCTCGGAAACCCTGTACAGGGTTGCTATGGGTCGGAACCGACTCGACGGCACTTAACAACAACAACATGGGTTGCTATGCTACTTGGTGGCACTTTACAACAACAATATAGCTAAAGCAGCCTAGATAGCTTTATTTCTATTCAATTATATCTGATCTTTAAAAAAACATATGGCAGAAAATTTAATGGTACCCTAGAGTCTCAAATTCCAGTATCATGGTTCAAAGACTTACAGAGTTGTATTCAGGTTTGTCCTTAAAGAATCAAATTATCAGAAGTAATATAGTTTCATTCCCTTAGGAACTGTTTTTTGGTGCCATTTTGAACACAATCTTCTTGAAATTCAGACTACACAATATTTAACACCCTCCCCCACCAAAAACAAAACATTTTCTTAAAGTGTAGCATTATTCTTTGAATTAGTACTAATACAACATTTTCAGGAGAATACGGATTGGAATCAGGGCACAGGAAAACTATAGAATTTTGATGCTGATCCTTAATATAAAGTTCCAACTAAAATTGTGAAATGAAATCTCTGAGTTTAGATAATAAATTAATTTATTTTTAAAAAGTTATTTTGAACCTTTTACAAATCTTGTACTTAGTGGATTGTTTCTGGATTCCTTTCATTCCCAAGTGGTAACAGACATGAATGTCATGTTAAAAAAATATATTACTTATGATAGTAAATATGTGTATAAAGAAAGAAGTACTCATACTCAATTAGAAAGCCAGACTACAAGGATTAGTTTCTTTTATTATTGGACTAAAACTTATAGCGTAATAGCTCTTTTTGTTTTTAAACAACGGTGTGATTTTGATAGTAGAAATGCTTACAAAATTTACTACTCTAACATCCTTTAGAGTTGAATTTGTTGCACAGAACTATGATAACAAAATAGTGCCAGCATTTACAGCATTTTTTTTTTAAAGTTGGCTTTAAAAACACAGTACTTTTGAAATGTGCTCTTTAAAAGGTTATTTCTATTATTTATGCATTCTTTTATGCCAGCTGCACTTGGTACCACATGTGGCATAGTGTTTCTAAGCCATTCTGAGGAAGCATCTTTGTCCAAAGATAAATGTGGATAAAAAGCTTTACTTACTACGACAGTCTCCCAGACCATCTGTATTGCCACGTTCTATGTCTTGCTCAAAAGTCAGTCTTCAAAAAAAAAAAAAACAGAGGGTAAGAAAGAAAGAAACAAACACAATAATGTGAGTCATTACTCAGGAATGAGTCTTAAATTTCACTCAGGAAAGCAACACAATTTGATAAATTGAGTGGCAGGTGCAAACAGAAGTACATAATAGCTTGAACTTAATCACCAAAGAGAAGCCATGGTTTAAGTAGTAAATTCATATATTTTAGTTAATTAGTTTGGGAATTATTTATATCCTTCTTAGATTCTGAGTGAACATTTATTTAAACATTAAAAAAACTTATGTTAAAATATGTGCCATATATTTAAGCAATATAGAAGTCAATAAATTGAAAATAAGAAGTGTTTTCTTTCTCTTCCATTCTACTCTTGCCTTTCCTGAACTTTATTTCTTTTCTTAGCAATAACTTGACAAAGGGTAAAAACACCTCTTGTTCATACCATGGATATGTGTGGGGCTGTGAGGAGGTAGGGCCTCGTGGTGCATTTTCTTAAGACTACTTACGTAGGTTGTTTGCTCAAGTCCTGCCTTTGACCTTCAGGAGTATTACTCATGTTACTCTCAAGCTTCTTCACCTGCCCACTGTTCTTACATATCTATATGTCACCAGTGGGTTGTATAAGTGATGTAAAATTAACAAGACCAATTTGATGAATATTTCCCATTCTGAGTTTTTAAAACAAGCATACCAAAAACAGCCAAAGGACTACTGTCCTTCTTTTGGGGAAATAAATAGTGTTTCTTCCCACAACGTAAGTGAAACTGCTCTTTTGCAACTATCTTCAAGTTTATTCATGAGCCATACGGGAAAACTGATTTCTTGGAAAGGCACACCTTGATCTAATAATTGACCACATGTCTACTTTCAAGTGCTTCCTCTGAATTAAAAATAAAATTCATTCCCAAAGAATTAAAATTTCTAGTCTTAATGAAACCAAATGTTCATCAGGTGATGAAACCCACTAGCAAAGAGGAATTCCTAAAGTTTGGAGCAATGCTACTGAACTATGTACACAGATCCCTACATTCCGATGATGACTTTAAAATAAAAAACAAAAAAAATCAGTCCCAATGCCGTGATCATACCTGGATTATAGAAATAACACAAGTCATTCCTTAGCTTCCCACACTATGCTTTGGGATCCTTTCTTCCTCCAACACAAAGGCTCCCATAAAGCTCTAATATTACAGCATGTCAATACTGCTACTTGTAAAGTTGCTCTACTAATACACAGTGAGTTAAACCTTTGTTAATCAAATTTCCAAGTCAGATTTTATAGTTATCATTAGCTCTTCTCATGGAAACACGTTCCCTCAAATTATACTGATGGTAATCATCAGATGGGCCCTTTTGTCTCGTTATTCTAAAATGGGAGAGGAGACTGAGAGCAATGTGATGATGGGGGGTGGGGGGTGGATAGAGTGGGTAAGAATGGTCTTTGCTGCCCTACAGCACCTTCCTTGAGTTGCCACAACCTGCCAAGGATACTCATTAAATACTGTTCCATGTGTTATTTTGGGTTTCGCATCCACTGACCTCCTAACCAATGCCATCTAAGCATTTACAGCTCCAGCAACAATTTTAAAAACCAAAATCATTGGTCTGATCTAGCTGATCTGTTGGAGAATTGCCATGAATTGATTGATGGCCTACAGAGTAATAGGGTCAACAGTTCTTTAGTGCAGGAGAAAGGCTTACTGGCTGTATACAACATACTTGCTGTACAAATGAATTACTTAACAAATGCTCTGCAATTTTGTCTCAGCCCTGCACGGTCAATTAGGAGAGTCAGTTTTGCTATGGCTGGACAAACCACATCAGTAATCTAATTGGTATCCTATTGCTCCTTCTCTCTGCAGTTCTTGCAGTGTAATGAACAAGGCATGCACCTTCTTATTTGTCTCTCCAGAGAATGCTGAGAAGCCCACTGTGTTTCCTGTTTCTGTGCTTTTAATCAGTCTAGGGATGATGAATCAGCTGGAAATTTGCCATATGTGATGTTGTGGGGTTCTTTGAATAAGAACTACAACTCATCTGTCAGTTTGCCATACTGTGATGGCTTGCATGCTACTGTGATTCTGGAAGCTATGGCACCAGCATGTTAAATACCAGCAGGGTCAACAATGGTGGATAGGTTTCAGATGAGCTTCCAGACTAAGACAGACTAGGAAGAAGGAGAGATGGAATCCTTCTGAATATTTAGTCACTGGAAACCTTACAAATAGCAATGGAATACTGTCAGGTCACAACAGAATACTGAATATTGTAACAAGAAGAAGAGCACCAGAATGCTGACAGATACAGAAAAGATCTGGAGTTAGTAAACCACAAGGAAAGAACATGCTCAGCATTTCTCAAGCTGAGATAACTGAGAAAACATCCAAGCCTTGACTTGCAGTATTGAAGGATTCTATGAGCAAAATACTGAATGATGCAGAAAACATCAAAAGAAAATGGAAGGAATACACAGTCACTGTATCAAAAATAAATGGTTGATGCTCAATCATTTCAAGAGGCAGCATCTGATCAAGAGCTGATGATACTGAAGGAAGAAGTACAAGGTACATTGAAGACAATGGCAAAGAACAAGGCTCCAGGAATTGATGGAATATAAATTGAAACCTTTCAAAATTTGTATTTTGTATTTGTACTTATTTTCTATACCTAGAAATTTGAAAGGGAGCTACCTGGCCAACTAATTGGAAGAGATCCATATTTGTGCCCATTCTAAAGAGAAGTGACCCAACAGAATGCGGAAATCATTGGGCCATATCATTAATATCGCATGCAAGTAAAATTTTGCTAAAGATAATTTAAAAAGTGATGGCAACAGTACACTGACAGAGATCTGCCAGAAGTTCAAGTTGGAGTTAGACGAGGGCATGGAATGGGGGATATCACTGTTAACTTTCAGATGGATCTTGGCTGAAAGCAGACAATACCAGAAAAAAATGTTTACCTGTGCTTTACTGATTATGCAAAGGCTTTCAAGTGTGTGGTTCATGACAAGCTATGGACAACACTGTGGAGAAAGAGTATTCCGGAACACGTAACTGTGCTCACGAGGACCTGTATATAGACCAAGAGGCCTTTGTTCTAACAAAACAAGGAATGCTGAATGGTTTTAAATTAGGAAACGTATGTACCAGGGTTGTATTCTTTCACCATAATTATTCAATCTGTATGCTCAGCAAATAATTCACAAATCTGGACTATAGGAGGAAAAATGTGACATCTGGTTTGGAGGAAGATTTACTAACAACCTGGTATATGCAGGTGATACAACCTTGTTTGCTTAAGAAATAGAGGGCTTAAAATACTGATGAAGATCAAAGACCACACCACTCAGTGTGGGTTGTACCTCAATGTAAAGAAAGCAAAAATCCTTACCACTGGACTAATAAATAACATCAAGATAAGGAAGAAAAGACTGAAGTTGTCACAGACTTCATTTTGTTTGGATCAACCATAAACACTCGTGGAGGCAGAAGCCAAGAAATTAAATGATGTTTTGCATTAGGCAAATCTGCTGCACAAGACCTCTTTTAAGAGCAAAGATAGCATTTTGAGGTCTAAGGTGTGCCTTACTCAAGACGCGGGATTTTCAATAACCTCATTTTTACGTGTAAGTTGGACAATGAATAAACACGATTATAGAAGAATTGATGCATTTGAGTTATGGTGTTGGAGTAGAATATCCAAAGTACCAACAAACAGATCTGTGTTAGAAGAAGAACAGCCAGAATGCTCCTTAGAAATCAGGATAGCCAGACTTCATCTCTCATACTTCAGACATATTATCAGGAGGGACCAGTCCCTGGAGAAGGACATCATGCTTGGTAATGTGGAGTCAGCAAAAAAGAGGAAGACTTCCAATGAGATGGGTTGGCACAGGGGCAGGAACAGTGGGCTCAAGCATAGCAATGATGTGAGGCTGGCGCAGGACCAGGTAGTGTTCCTTTCTGTTGTGCATAGGGTCTCTATGAGTAGATACCAACTCAGTGGCACCTAACATCAACAATATAAAAAAGAATGCCTGGCAGTCCTGTTGGTGAAGGTGGAGAAGGTGTTGGTGTATACAAGTATAGCTAGCTGTACATCTAGAATGCTTATCAGCCAAGGCCACTTTACCCTCTACCAAACCTTGAACTCCTCACCTGCTGCTTGGTGGCAAATGTGCACAGGAACCGCCTTCCTTTATCCACCCACAATATGGGTCTCTGGAGGCGATGCAGGTTCTGCAGGAAGAGAATTACCATGAGATACCTAGGAATCCTTTCTAATCACTGTGGACTTTCTAATGGTCAATGAGGCAAAATACTTACTTTTTACACTTCCCGTGACGTTCACACCGGCCGAGGGGAACCTTAATCACACAGGTGGAGAATGCAACATACAGAGAACTGCTTGCTTTGTCTAGCTGCATTCCCATAATCCTCTTGTCTTCTACTCCATCATAGCTGCACCTGATTTTATAAGACACGGTTTCATATTTATAGTCTCTTGGGCCAGTGTGCCTTTCTCTGCTACAACCCTCACATTACACCTCACAGCCCACAAGGTGATTTCTTAATTCTTTTTATCTAATTGAAAGTGGAACTGGTAACCATGTACGTTCAGATACACACACAGTTACTGACAAGAAGAAAAAAATGCTTTCTACATTTTAAAAGGTTTTGTAAATTTACTAAAAACCACTTAAAATGTATACAACCCAAATCTTCCATGATTTGCTCAATGAAAGAAGGAAACACTCCACTTACTTTTCAGGGTTATAAACGCTCATCTCCTCCAGAAAAAGGCTGTCATTTAGGAAACCACTACTTCCTATCCTGGCCAAGAACTTCAAGATGATTCCCTTCTCTGATCCCAAGAATACCACAGTGTGATTCTGATAGGGCCCAGCAGCAGAGTCCACGGCAATTTTGGTCAAGCGGTATCTAGAATGACAGGATCACATTTAAAAAATCTCTTTGTTGGTCTACCATTAAAGTGTCCTTTTTCCACTTCAAACAACTACGACATGGCTTAATAGTAATAACTTCAATAAAAATATATGCATACAAGCAACGCTCAAACTGTCTGATCCTTTATTTCCATATGCAGAGTGTTAGTAGGGCTTCAAAGAGGGAGAAAAAAGTATGTGTATGTAGAAACCAAGTTCCATAAATAACAGACAGCCATATCCAATTGAAAAAAACACTATCCCTTCCATGAGCAGCAATGAAAGGTATGTATCATTTAATATTGAAAAAAAAAAAAAAAAAAAAAAACCCAAAAAACAATGTTATTATTCCTCCATACTCATTTTTTGAAGTTTAAAGTTGTTGTATATACTATGTCAGATTGGAAAACTTTCTGATTGTATGTGAAGGGACTGAGAGAATTCTAAAGGACAAAGAAGCAGAAAGCTGGTGGCACTTCCACTAAATTTAAGGGTGCGTTAGTCAAACAAGATCCATGGGAAACTACATGCCTCAAATAAGTTCTACTAGGCATCGCTTTCTCTAAAATTTTCTGATCATTCAACAATCCACAGATACCAATTTCTCTTAAGTGGTATGGCAGGTACCAGAAAACAAAGTAAAGCATTTGGCAGGTACCAGAAAACAAAGTAAAGCATTATAACTAAATGTGCAAAAACCTAAAGTTAGAAAACCAAAAGAAAAGAACATGTTAATCATTTCTCAAGTTGAAATAACTGAAGAAAAAAATTAAGGCCTTGAGTTGCAATACTGGAGAATTCTAAAGACAAACTAGAGTAGTGGTTACAAGTTGGGCTGCTAATCTCACGGTCAGCAGTTAGAAACTCTCAGCCGTTTTATGGGAGAAAGATGAGACTTTCTGGTCCCATAAAGATTTATAGCCTCAGAAACCCTATACTGGGTCGGTATGAGTTGGAATCGACTCTATTGCATATAACCACTACCACCACCACAGATAAACTATTGAATGATGCAGAAAGTATACTAAGAAGATAGAAGGAATATAGAGTCACCCTGCCAAAAAGAATTGATCAATGTTTAACCATTTCAAGTGGTAGCATATGCTCAAGAACCGATAACTTTGAAGGCAGATATTCAACTTGCATTAATGGCGTTGGCAAAAAAAAAAAAAAAAAGGAACTGATGCAATGCAAATTGAAATGTTTCAACAAACTGATGCAGCACTGGAGGTGCTCAATGGTCTATGCCATGAAATTTGGCAGATACCTACATGGCCTAATGACTAGAAGAGATTCATATTTTGCCCATTCCAAAGAAAGGCAAACCAGTGAAACAAAGAAATAATCTAATTTTATCAGTAATATCACATGCAAGTAAAATTTTGCTGAATAGAATTTAAAACCAGTTGTAGTAGTACATCTGCAGGGAGTTCAAGCCAGATCTAGAAAAGGATTTGGAATTAGGAATATGATTGCTGACATCAGATGGATCTTGTCTAAAAGCAGGGAGTACCAGAAAGATATTTACTTGTGCTATATTTACTGTACAAATGCATTTGACTGTGTGGATCAAAACAAAGTATAGATAACACTGTAAAGAATGGATATTTCCCAACACTTCATTGTGCTCATGAGGAAACTGTACATAGATGAGGAGGCAAGTATTAGAACATATAAAGTGGATACGGAATGATTTTACATCAGGGAAGGTGTGTATCCCAGCTGTATTGTTTCACCATACTTATTCAAGCTATATCCTGAGCAAGTAATCAGAGAAGCTGTAGTATTTGAAAAAGAATGTGGCATCAGGATTGGAGGAAGACTCATCAACAACTTGTGATATGCAGATGACAAACCCTTGCTTTCTGAAAGCAAAGAGAACTTGAAGTATTTACTAATGAAGATCAAACAATACAGCCTACAGTATGCATTACACTTTAATGTAAAGAAAATGAAAATCCATACAACTGGACCAATGAAAAACATCATATTAAATGGAGAAAAGGCTGAATTTGTCAGAGAGCATTTTACTTGAATACAGAATCAATGATCATGGAAGAAGCAGTGATGAAATCAAAGGATGTATTACATTAGGCAAATCTTCTGCAAAAGGCCCCTTTAAAATGTTAAAGAGCAAAGAATGTCACTTTGAGAACTAAGGTGAGTCTGACCCATATCATAGTATTTTCAATCACCTCATAGGTATGTGAAAGTTGGACAATGAAAAGGGAAGATCTAGAAGCACTGATGCATTTGAATTATGATGTTGGAAAAGAATGTTAAAAGTACCAGGGACTTAAAAGTACCAGAGGGCATGGAGGAAGGTAGAAATTCCACTGAGTAGTATCCAATCTGTCTAGGCGGGACTGATGAAAGGAAATGCGGATAGGTCTGTTGTGATAGGTCTCTTGTGAATAATTGTTACCAGGACTGATCGTGAAGGTTGTAAATGTAAAAGTAGACATTTTGTGGCAATGAGAGGAGTGATTAACTTTGCAGTCTAGGAGCAGAGGTCCCTGGAACCATGAAGGCAGAAGAGCGGAGAGCAGTACCCTACCCAGAGAAGCAGCGATCCCCGAGATGGGAGGCAGAGATGATGACATGGAGAGATGGAGCAGCTGGGAACTCGGGACCCAGGGAGGGAGAAGCAGGCTTGTAGAATGTACCCTTCCATTGATTGGTAATGCATGGAGGGGATTGTAACCATGACAATGAAACAATATACGATAGGATGAATGTAAAACTAAAAAAAAAAAAAAAGTACCAGGGACTGCCAGAAGAATAAATAAGTCTGTCTCGGAAGAATAGTCAGAATGCTCCTTAGATGCAAAGATGGGGACACTTTGTCTTATGAACTTTGAAGAAGGACATCATGTTTGGTAAAGTGAAGGGTCAAAGAAGAAGAGGAAAACCCCCATGAGACAGACTGACACAGTGGTAGTAATGATGCGCTCAAACATAACAAGTACGAGGATGATACAGGACGTGGCAGTGTTTATTTCTGCTGTAATGAGTAGGAACCAGCTCAAGGACATGTAGCAACAACAAAAGTAGGAAGGTACTTGGAAAAGCTTTTTGTTTGAACATTTTGAAAATAAACCCTTTATGGTAAATATTACAGTATTTCATGTTATTACAGATCTCAAATCAATTATCCCATTTTTGTTGGCCACCATTTCAAATGTCGTTGTTAAAGTACCATCAAGTAAGTTTCAACTCATAACAACCCTGTATAGGGTTTCCAAGGAGCAGCTGGTGGGTTTGAAGCCCCATCCTTGTGGTTAGCAGTCCAGTGCTTATCCTACAGCAATACAGCTGAGGACTACTGCAGCTAAGTAATGATAAATGTGATTCCTTCACACTAGCATACTAGTGAAAATGTGACAGCTATGCTTCATTTGGGAGCTAACATTTCAGGGACCTCTTTACAACTAATCAATCAATCGGATGTGGATACCAAACAGGTACTGATGGATTCTCTCAGTGATCCTCAATTTTTGTACATATCAGGTTATTGGGCTAACCCAGAAGGCAGTATCTTTTTTTTTTTTTTCCTTTAAAATCTAGCATATGTCCAACTAGCCTTGAGATACGGGGTATCTTGTCATTGGGAATGTGGTTCTGGGGGTTTGATGGCATCCATTCAACCTGTCAGCATTTCATAGCTGAATCAACGCCCAGCTGAACAGAAGATATTTATGTCATTTAAAAGAATGGTTGGTTGTACGAGCATGTGAAGAAGGCAGGAAAATCCACTAGGACCTGGTTTGCTTGCCACCTACCTGACCATTGTCCTCAAGAACCATGGCCTATTGATAATGGAAGGCACTGCCTCATCCATGAGGGGGTGCGTCTTGATGAAGTTGAGGGTATCATCAGGAAACTCATTGGAGGTTGCATATTTTTCTAAGGAGGATGAGCCAGCACAGCATCCTGGCCTAGAATGAAACAAAGGGTGGGAAGTAGCTTATTTCATGCCTTATGGCAAATTCTTTGAATGAACTGCTTCTCTAAGCATCTGGCATGAGGGACAATGTACCACAGGCTGAGAAGAGGAAGCTGAACAATACCGAATGCCACCAAATAAAACATGCTTAGATTTCCTCTGGGCCGCCTCCTCTTTCCAGTGGGAGTCTCAGCCAGAGGCAGCTTGGCTTCATCCCAGCAGCACAAATAAACCCCCGTAAACAGTGATGGAGCTTGAAACAAGTGAACTAGTGCGTGGTTTGCACATATCTCAGGGACTGCAGTACTCATCCTAAAATGCTGGCAGACATTTCTCAGGCATTTGTACTAAAGACGGAGAGAAATAAGTTGATTGTTTTTCACAAGTGCAGAAAACAAAGACCTTCAAAATGGTTCCAGGGTTTATAACAGCAACGCTCAATGTTTGGATTTGATTTTTGCTTGGTGATGCAGGTATGAAAAACCAAGGTACTAAATGCCCTTTCATAAAAGGTCATTTCCTTGTAATTGAACAATAACAATGAAAATTCAGTACTGCAAAGAATTCTATGAGTTAAAAAACATTTCAGTAAATTCAGACAAGGGAGACACACATGGTAATATTATCTTATGGACTTCCAGTTTGCACACTGGAACGGAAGTAGAAACTGGGTCCCACAACATAGGCATGATGGCTAATACTTCTCAATTTTACAGTGCTCCTGAGTACTACAAGTCCATAGGTGGTTCAAACATTAATATGATTGGCTGCTAACTCAAAGTTCGAGTCCACTAAGAGGCACCTTGGAAGGAAGGCTTGGCCAGTTTCTTCAGAAAACTCTATGGAACACAGTTCTCTGATACACATGAGGTCTTCATGCTTAGGAGTCAGTTCTCAGGAAACAGATTTTCAGGGTATTAACCCTGTCTGTAAGAGTACATGGTGAGCATGTGAAAAGATCAGGGTCCACAGATGGACATACTTGGAAAGTCCCTTAGAGTTGCTCTTTGACAAGACTGTCTGGATGACAGCATCTTCACATGTATATCAGTTCTACCTGAACTGTGCTTCGTGCTTATCTTGCAGGTAGCTAAAATTAGGCAGTGCTTTTCTGCAAGGCACTTACTTAGAAAATGAATAAGGTTGACCAGGGTGTGATTTTTGCACCTAGTTTGCTATCCATAAGCAATAGAGTGTGAGCATGGGAGATAAATCAGGTGATGAAGATTTAGGAATCACACGGGTATACAGGTTCACATTATTTAAGTTCAATTAAATGTACTGGGCTAGGTAATTTGTGTAGGGGATTAGAGATTGGGGGAAGGAATTGGAAGCAAAAACACAAAATACTAAATCATCGGGTTTCCTTCCAGAAGCTGAGAAATTCACTGTGGGGAGGCAGACACACATGGCTGTGTCTACATAACTCAGACTATAAATGCTGTAATGGAAGTATGGAAAGTCACATACAGAGGGAAGTTCTAGGGCAGGAGGAGAGTTAGAAAGAATGTATTAAATGGCTTATTTAGAGGACATGTAGGACCAAAAGGTCTCTAGATTGTCTCTGGATCAAAGGTTCTCTATGAAAGCAATTGTAAGGTAAAATTTGGTAAGAAAAGATACAATATGGACATGAAACAGACCAGAATCTGGCAGACAAGAGATATCTGAACAATCCACTGTTATTTGTTGGACTCTTCCTGCCCTTGAATTGGAGTTTTGGGCTCAGTTCAGACCTGGCCTGGTCACAAGATCTAGGAATGCCACTTATTCAGACATCATTAGATATTAAAGACATTTACTAGTTGATTTGTGATACACAGTGAACCCAGGTGACAGTAAAACTGCCACATTGGTTTTTTTAGGCTTTATTCTTTAAAGGAGCAGATGGCCAGGTCTTTGTCCCACAGATCCAGTAGGTGGGTTTAAACAGCCAACCTTTCAGTGAGCAGCCACATGCTGAAGTGTTGCATCACTAAGGCTCAGGGATCTCTGTGAAATTAAAGGGAAGCAGGCAAGAAAGTGGAAGTAATCTACCCAGCTTTGTGAACTTGCAAAATACACTTGACCTCTCTTGGCATCAGTTTCCCTACCTATATAGGTCAATGGAGCTGCCTGGACCAGATGATTCCTTCCATTTTTAGATTACAGTAGACAGACAAAAGATGTAGAGGCTAAGCAAAAAACTAAACAGGGTGTTTTGAATATAACAACACCCAACACACAGTTCATACAGAATAGTCACTATCAGAAAACTAAGGTACATCAGTATGAGAAGCTTCAGTTTTGCCTTATAAAGAAATAGTCTCATGTACCTGGGTTTAGGCACTCGTTCATCAGGAACTGGTGTCCACGTGGCATCCGGAGACTTCTGTTCCTTGAATCTCCCAGTAAACACATTGGCAATATCAAGCATGTCATAGGCACAGACTGCAGATCCAGGGATGCTGCAACATGACATTTCACAAAAAGCATTACTCAGCAGTTATGTAGACAGTTTGGAAAATATACTCCAAGGAAACTTTCCTCTTATAAGTAGCTGAATTCTACAGACTACAAATGGAAGGGATCTATTGCATAAAGAGAATGTTTTTCATTGAATACTTTCAAAGAAACCTGCATCAATGAATTTAAAGAAAGACTAGTTCCAGTAAACTCAAAGGGAGGAAAACCCCCTTCATGTCTTCACTCTTTTTGGAAACTGCTGTTGTTTATAAAGGTAGAATTATAGAGCTGGAGATAGAGAAATTAATTATCATCAGTAATGACAAAGTCTCTGGAGACTGTTCTGCCTAATATTGGTGAAAGTTTGCATTTAAAAAATCCCCTCATTGTCCACATATGTTTTTAAACTTGATTCTTCTTGCTAAGACATCAGGGTATGAGAAGCTGTATGGGGACAACTCACACATATTTTATATTATTTTTGTTGTTAAGTGCCGTCGAGTCAGTTCCGACCCCTAGCGACCCCGTACAGGGTTTCTGAGGCTGTAAATCTTTATGGGAGCAGAAAGCCTCATCTTTCTCCCATGGAATTGCTGGTAGTCTCGAACAGCTGACTGTGAGGTTAGCAGTCCAACTAGTAACCACTATGCTACCAGAGCTCCTTATGTTTTATATTACTGACTGTAAATTTAAACTTTGACTGGTTTATTTGCATAAGACTAAAGCACTAGTGCTTTGCAAATAAAGTACCCTATAAAGTACTGGTAGCGTAGTGGTTACGAATCGGGCTGCGAACCTTAAGGTCAGCGGTTCGAAACTACCAGCCGCTCTGCGGGAGAAAGATGAGGCTTTCTACTCCCATAAGGATTTACACCCTCAGAAACCCTGTACAGGGTCGCTATGGGTCGGAACCGACTCGACGGCACGTAACAACAACAACAACATAAAGTGGTAAATAATAATAATAATAATAATGGTAATTTCCATCTATAATTATATCTTTGCCTGGCACTTATAAAAGGACTTAAGGATTTTTTTTTTTTCCATCAATGGTTAGAAGGCATGGAATATTCATTCTTCAGCATACACTGTTTATATTTGAACCCATGTTTATTTTTTACTGTGGTAGCGACTTGATTTAGATAAAATAAATGGTAGGAAATACTGCCCAAGAGCTGGAATTAGGTTTTGAGGAAGTGGGCCAGTCCATTACAAGCACATGAAAGGCAAGAAACACAAGCGCTTCTTAGGGTGGAAATATCATTTGGGCAGAGTGAATCATTTAGTCTGGATTTTGCTTATGTTGAAAGGATATGGAAATCACTTCATGAATGGTTCTGAGAATTTTATACTGTCTTTAATTTCATAACACAATTACTAAAGTATTACTAATAAAGCAAGATGTAGGGAGAGGATAAAAAGCTTATTTAAGACAAAGTAGAGAATTAAAAGAGAATTTAAAGGATTATCTTTTTATAAAATAGATATTTACATATATTCACAGAATTGAGCATATAAAAGAGATTCTCCATGTTTTGAAATTTTACAACCAGAGCATTATTTATTTTGTCTTGTGATACTCTCATCATAATTCTCTTACTCTGAAAGTGACGGGAAGGCATCATTATTCACTCTTATATAATAAGAACAAAAGAATAAGTGTTGTTTGAAGTAGTTTATGATATATCTTGTGATAACTTAAGACATCCTAGGATTTTATAATCTTCCTAAGGTTAGAATTACTTGAGAAAACCGTCTTTCTTCTCTACTTTCTTCCCTTTCCCATTTGCATCCTTCCTTGCTTCCCTACTTCCTTTCAGTTAAGTATTTGGTCAAATACATATTTTTGGAAACATATTTATGGAATTCCTCATATATCTCAATCAGTAGATGATCCATAAATAATATAAAATTCCTGCCTTCAGTTGGCTCACAGTTCAATATGGAGGCAAATATAATAATGATTTTAATATTAACAGAAACAATAATGGCAACAAGACAATCTGGGATTGCACAAAGTCCCATGGGAGTTCCACGGAGTGACTCTGGAGCTGAGATTTGGTGCAGGCTCAGGATTTCCATGGACAGTGGGTTGTAAGTCATCCCTGGCAGAGAACAGGGTATGAGCAAAGAGTGGTGGTTCAAGAAATAGCTCTTGGCTCCAGCAGGATTATGATACAGATAGAGTGGCAGACAGTGGGAAGAAATGAGCTAGAGGTGAGGATGGGGTCACCCCATGAACGGGCTTTCAAATGACACAAGGAACATGGGATTGATTCTCAGACAAAGAGTAGGATCTAATGGACCAAAACCAATCTGACATGGCCAAGTTTGCATGTGTGGAAGCTGGAATGGAGGAGGATGAGAAAAGAGGGATTGAATCCAGAGAGGGACTATACTTGATGCATGAAAATAGGTGTGTGTATTTTGAAATTAGAAGATGGATTATAATTCTCTGATTTTACTGAATAAACAGGTTTTTTGAGACTGCCTAAGCATGCAAAATGCTAATGTTTCTTAAGGGTAATTAAAAAAAAAACAACAACTTTAAATGGAGTATCTACAATACTCAGGTACCGATTATTGTAGAATAATCACAATGTGGTCCCCACCCCACCGAAATAAGAAAGACAGATTAGGAAATTGTTAAATTCTACCAGTGCCTGCAACCTACTGTATCACAACAGTACACAGGTTTGGAAATTGCAGATAGATTATGGAGGGCTACGGCTCTGTAAGATAAGCACTTGACTGCAAACCACAAGGTCAGGGGTTTGAGCCCACCAGCCACTCAGGGGGAGAAAGATAAGGTTTTCTGCTCCTGCAAAGAAATACAGTGTCAGAAACCCTATATAGGACTGTTAGGAGTCAGAAGCAATCCCACAGCACTTAACAACATCCTAGATAGATGGGTTCCAATTTAGGTATAGCAAGACCTGAATTTTTATACTATTCCTATCCTTAAGTCTAACAACTCCTACAAGTGGTCAGAACTCACTTAAATCTAAGGAAATCTTTTTTGCAATATGGGTTTATATTGTTGAGTATCTTCAGTGAGGAACTCTTTTTTTTTTTTTTTTCACTTTTATTCATTTTTAATTATATAATTTAGTTACATTAAGTACTTTCATAATGTTGTGTAACCATCACCACAATCTATTTCTAAAACTTTTTATCACCTCAAACAGAAATTCATACACTTTAAGCAGGTCTTCAGGGTTCATCCATGACATAGTATGTACGAAAACTTAATTTTGCTCTATGACTGAATGATATTCCATTATACACACACACACAAAACCCCACATACACCCTTATACATGTTGTTACTATATGCAGTCGAGTCCATTCTGACTCATAGAGACCCTGTACAGAGTTACTGAGGCTAAACCTCTTTATGGGAACAGAAAGCTTTTTCTTTCTCTTACTACACTACCAGGTTTCATATATATAGATATGTGTGTGCATACAATTGTCGCTAGGTGTTGTCCAGTTGGTTTTGACTCATAGTGACCTTATGTACAACAGAATAAAACACAGCCCAGTCCTGTGCCATCCTCACAATTATTGATACACCTGAGCCCATTGCTGATGCCATTGTGCCAATCAATCTTGTTGGGGATCTCCCTCTTTCTCGCTAACCCTCCACTAACATGATGTCCTCCAGGAACTGGTCCCTTCTGGTAACATGTACAAAGTGTGAGAGGCAAATTCTGGCCATCCTGGCTTCTGAGGAACATTCTGTACTTCTTTCAACAGATTTGTTTCTTTGTCTTGCAGTCCATGGTACCTGCCATATTCTCCTCCAACACCACAACTCAAATGCATCAACTCCTCTCGGGTCTTCCTTATTTAATGTTCGACTTTCACATGCATATGAAGATACTGAAAATAGCATGGCTTGTGTCAGGTGTACCTTAGTTTTCATAGTGACATCTTTGCTCTTGAACACTTTAAAGAGGTCTTATGCAGCAGATCTGCCTAATGCTACATGTCATTGGATTTCTTGACTGCTCCTTCAACAGGAGTAGAAGTAGATCCAAGCAAAATCAAGTCTTTGACATTATCAGTCTTATCTCCATTTATCATGATATTATTTTTGGATCAGTGGTGAAGATTTTTGTTTTTTCACATTGAGGTGCAACCCATACTGAAGGCTGAGGACTTTGATCTTCATCAGTAAATATTTAAGTCATCTTTCAGCAAACAAAATTGTATCATGTGCATATCGCAGGTTGTAAACGTATCTTCCTCCAATCTTGATGCTACATGCTTCTTCATATAATCCATCTTCTCAGAGTATTTCCTCAGCATATAGATTGAATGAGAATGGTGAAAAACTACAACCCTGGTGTACATCTTTCCTAATTTTAAACCATTCAGAACCTTGTTCTGTTCAAACAACTGCTCTTGCTCTATGTACAGGAGCCTCATGAGCACAATTAAGTGTTGCAATACTCATTCTCTGCAATGTAATCCATAGCTTGCTATGATCCACAATTGAAAGCCTTTGCATCATTAAAGCACGGGTAAACATATTTCTGATATTCTCTGTTTCATCTAAGATGTCTGACATCAGCAATGATATCCTTCATTTCATGTCATCATCTGAATCTGACTTGAACCTCTGGTAGCTCCCTGTCAATGTACTGTTGCAGCAGCTTTTGAATTATCTTTAGCAAAATTTTACTTGCATGAGATATTAATGATATTGTTTGATGATTTCTACATTCCATTGGATCACCTCTTTTTGGTATGGGTACAAATATGGATCTCTTCAAATCAGTTGGTCAGGTAGCTTTCTTGCAAATTTCTTAGCATAGATGAGTGAATGCTTCCAGTGCTATGTCAGTTTGTTTAAAGATTTCAATTTGTATTCCATCAATTTGAGAGCCTTGTTCTTTGCCAATGCCTTTAGTGCATCCTGGGAGTCTTCTTTGTACCATTTGCTCTTGATCAAATGCTATCTCTTGAAATGGTTGAACATCACACACACACACACACACACAATCTTGTTTATTCATGCATCTGTTGATGGACATTTGGATTGATACAAAATAAATAGTTCTGCAATGAACATTGGCATAAAAGCATCTATTAGAGTCCTTACTTCAAATATTTCTGGATATGCCTATGAGTGCAATTAATGGGTCATATGAAGTCCATGGTAATTCCTTGTGTGGTGCTGTAAAATAAGCATTGGACTTCTAAACACAAAGTTTGTGGTTCAAACCCACTAGCTGCCCTTTAGAAACTATACAGGGTCACTGAGAGTCGAAACCAACTTGATGGCACTTAACAGCAAAAACATGGTAACTCTTTTTAACTTTTTGAGGAACTATCACATGGTTTTTCACAGTGGCTGCTCTATTTTACATTCCCAGGTGGGATCTCATAATTCTTTCCCTAAATTTAATTGAGGAGCATTATTTTATGCTTCGGCTTGCTCTGCTTGGGGCTACATTTCTCTCCAGATGCTATCATCCAACGAATCATTTATGCACCTGTCATCCTGGCACTCATCAAGGTCTTAAAGGTCTGAGACATCTATTATCCAGTGCATACCAGTATATTCCGAAAGGAATCTCTTCAATATAGAATATACAATGTTCTACGTAGATACAGGAACACAGTATGAGTATTTATAACTCATGACCACGTTCAAGTTCTGACCATTTCATGCTAGGACTATGAGATCTAGTTGTCTTATCAGAGAGCTGAGTACAGGGAACCTAAACCTACTTTCCTTCTAGTCCCTAGTCTTTGTATATTTCAGTCCACTGTTCTATGAACAATCATTAGTTTGTCTTTTAACTGCTTAGTATATCTTAGGTTAGCTAAATTAAAAGTACAATGTTTGATGGTATTTAGGCCCTTACAGACACAGACAATGATTCTGTCATTGGGATCTGGGCCATGGACCAACTAGTTGAGCAATGTTATCTGAGGCTAACTTCCTCTGAGAAGTCAAGAACCAGGGTATCTAAGGTGGGTTGCAGGATGGCACCATCTGAATCCTGAATTTCACCCTCCGGCATTTTAACAAGCTTCAGTGTTTTACTTCAAATATCACAAATCCAGTCACGGAAATTTAACAGTCAAACAGAAAGTTAGATGAGGTGGAAGAGACAGGAGAAATATTCTTCATACTGGCTACTTGAACCAAATAATATAATATATTTAGCTCAATTTCCTTAAGTGTGACAAGAGGACAACGGTAACCAGTTTTGAGGATTAGTGGGATTTAGAAATAACACGTAAAATGTATTTATATAGCGGGTATATATAAAAAAAGGTTACTGTCACAATTTATCTAATTACCTTCCTTAAAATTCTAATCTAAAAATGCTTATACTGTTAATTTGTTGATGAAAACTGAATGTTAAGTGGTTCTTAGCTACAAATAACGAGTAGTAATTCTTCCTTCAGTTGTGAATACTGTGTATTAGAAGAGAACCCTTGGGAAAAGGAAGACGGGAACAACTGATTAGGTCAACACAGCCAGGGCATGGTTACCTGTTATAAGGTGTGGAAAAGGTTGCCAGGACAACATCACGGCCATTAATACGAATCACATCTGTAACTGCCTGGAGTATATTGAAATAAAAGTGAGAATCTCCAGGAACTGAGCAGTTCAGACGAGCCTTTAGAAAAGATGTCCACTGCTTCTCCAGGACTCTTTGAGACCCTCCCATGTCATTCTTGCAAACCTGAGCCACTCTTGGGAAAACTACCTGGAGAGAAAAAGCATACAGAGGAAATGCAATGAGCATACTTGGCAAGGAGTTCTTACTAGAATCTGCCTTTCCTTGAAAATAAAAACAGAACAAGGTGCTACTTAATTTTATCCCATGTTTCTAAAATCAGTAGCAAAAAAAAAAAAATCTCAGCATTGGAACAGCATGTTTTAAAAGATAAGGCTGTGGCATTTAATACAGAACCATAAATCCTTCAGGAGATCAGCTCCCAGCCACATAAACTCATTTCCATACAGACTGCTTAGCTTTTTATTTCCACAAACAAAAGCACACTTTGTATGCACCACCTCTGCCATCCGCACTGGGTGTCTATAGGCCTGAATCTCTTACTCTGACTATGCCATTTCTCTAACGATGCAAGCCACACTGACATTTTATTTATGCTTTTCACCTTGGTGACCTTCATCTGTTCACTCTGGTTGAAAAAAAAGTTACTGAAATGTAATCCCTTAAGTGTTCTATTGCATTCTGCAATAAAAACAAAAGATTTTCAGTTTTGCTTCAAGATAACTGCATATTTACCCTTTCTCTGCCAAGCAACTCAATTAAACAGAAAAAGATATTGAGTACATCTGGAGACCAATTCTTAAGATACTTGAAACTCAGTATGAAACCAGTGAAACACATCTGTCAATTAAATGTTCAAGACAAGTGTATAAGAGGTTCCCAGGAACCATTAATGTTCTCAAAAACATAGGGAAAAGTTTACTATTGGTTATCAGGTGTTATAGGGAAGGGGAGTTCAGAGTTATGTTTATGGGGTGCTAAACGTCTGCTAGGAGGCCTGGTGTGGTGCTGAAGGGTAGTCACTGAACTACAAGTTCAGTCTGAACTGCAAGGTCAGCACAACTTGGAAACCTTATACAGAGTTGCTATACGCTGGAACCGATGAGACTGCTCTTAGCACTGTAGGATAAGCACGGGACTACTAACTGCAAGGTTGGAGATTTAAACCCACAAGCAGCAACTCAAAAACTCTATACGGGGTCGCTATGAGTCATAGTTGACTCAATAGCACTTAACAACAACAACAAGTTTCTGTTGGTGTCTGGGGCTGCAAACCATAAGGTGGACATTTTGAAGCACTCAGCTGCTCCTCAGAAACCCTATACAGGGTTGCAATTAGTCAGAACCAACTCAATGGCACTTAACAACAAGTGTCTGTTTAGGATGACAAAAACTTTGGAAACGGAGAGTGGTAACTGGTATTAAAATGACTAAATTATGTACTTAAAAATGGTTAAAATGACCATTTTTTTGTTATATATATGTTGTTCTTCAGTGGAATCGAGTTGATGACAAGGAATAGCTGGTGGGTTTGAACTGCCAACCTTGTGGTTCACAGTACAGTGCTTACCCTACAGAGCCATACCAGAAGTCCAAGAAAAGAAAAATATATATAGGCCTTCAAGATAGCACAATGCTTCACATCCATTAGTCTGTGGCTGGATCTTCTCAAAATGATGACTGTCATTCACATGTTTGGTTCTCTTTTCAAGACCACTCACAACAGAATAGCCCAAAAGGTGATTTCTGTCAATGTTACAAAGGAAGCCATCGTTGTCGTTCACTCTCACCTTTCCCATGGTGTTGTACTCCACTGCTATTTCCCTAAAGAAGAAGTAGATGTAGTCTCCATAATCCACCGCTTGGACAAAATATGGTTCTGTGGACAAATGGGCACTTTAATTGGAGACACGTCAAGCAGAATGAAAAGAACTTTAATCAATTGCAAATTTCAATCAAGTTGAACTGCTTTATTAATTAAAAGTATAGGACCATTAAACATTGATTACCAGGAACCATTTGCAATGACTTCATATATGCCGGCACTGATGATTTCACAATGCATTCAAGCCTACAAATTGTACCCTTCAGAAGTTGTTACAATCAACAATGAAGAATAAATGTGTTTTGTATATCTCTGTAATTTTATTTCCCACAATGGAATCACCTTATTACAGCAAGGATTTTGTACACATCTCCATGTCAACCCTTACTCATTCAGAGTTATGAATAGCTTGTTTTTGTTTTTCCCCCGTTTCCCCATTGTCTTCAACTCCCTGTCCCCTTCCATGAACGATTGTTCACTTCTTTTCATGTGGGATGCTGATATGAGAGTTTGAGGCAGGGAAAGATGAATGTAATGTATTCCATTGTATAGCTGTTGGTAGTTTTGTTAATACTCCAGAAACTCATGGAAAGGGAAAAAGAATGGTAAATAAATCAGTTGCAGCAAAAGATGCCATTTTTACTTTCTTGTCTGTAAGAAGACATGATTAAAACAATATACTACAGTCTGTGGTCTGTCCAGACTCAAAATCACCCACAAGATATGTACTCTCCCCATCCCTCTTTTTTTCTCCTTTTAATTATTTTTTTCACCTTTCAACCATTTTGAGTCGTGCTTGACGGTTCGTAGAGTTGGGCTGTCTCCTAGACTCCGATAAATGACTGCGTCGATGGCGAGGAAGTCAGTTACTGTGGCTGAATACAGCTTTCCATCTGAGATGAAGAAGAAAAGAGGTGAATGGGGTAGAAGCAAAACAAGGCAGTGAAGTCAGGGGAATAATACAGAAATCCCTAGATTGCTTTCCTACATCAGGCAAATGAGATAGGACAACTGGGAAACATCCACCAGTCACTGGGAATATATTCGACGCATTTTCCTAACCATTTTAAATTGGGATCATGAGAGATGAAACATTGTTCATTTTTCAAATTGCATGGCAATTTCTAAACAGTAGCAGCTCAGGGAACAGGGAAAATAAAAATGTTGTTGGCCTCACTTCATTAGATGGACCTTGACTGAAACGTGAAGGCCAAGGCCCTCGGATACTGCCACTGCCACCACACCGTGAAAACTGGATTAGGTGAGAGCCCGAAGAAAGATAGAAGCTGATTGTATCACCAGCAGTTTTAAGTACAATTTTAAGTAACAGGGTCCTCTGCCACAGAAGATTAGAGGAGAGGAAGAATGGTCTACAGAAGGAAAAGGGTGAGCTAATTTTCATCCCTTCAATTCTCCAACTACTTACACATACACTCCAAGAGTCCTTGCTGCACCTGACCTCAGTCTTGAGAGCTCACTAAACCCTGACACTTTGTTGTGTTACTTGCTTAAAGACACTTGTTTCAATGTTTCCAAAGACACAAACTAAATACATTCTGATATAAAAGATGTCAAAGCTAAGAAGAAAGGGGGTGGGAGGTTGATACAGATTGAAGATTGCTGTTATTATTAAGTGCCGTTGATTTGGTTCAGACCCATACCAACTCTCCAGAGTGTTTCCAAGGCTATAAATCTTTATGGTAGTTTTGAACTGCTGATTGAGGTTAGCAGCCTAACTCAAAACCATTACGCTATCAGAGCTCCTTACAGGACAGGTTGTTGTTGTGAAGTACCATCGAGTCAGTTCCGACCCACAGTGACCCTGTACAGGGTTTCTAAGCAGCAGCTGGGGAGCTTGAACTGCCAGCCTTGCAGTTCAAATGGCTTTGCAGTCTGACGCATTAACCCACAGTGCCACATCGCTTAAAACACACTCACTCTCTCTCTCTCTCTCTCACACACACACACACATACACACACACACACACACACACACACAAAAACCAGTAAAAACCCTAGCCAAACACACCTAAGCAAAATTCTTGATATATAAGTTCAATTCTAAAATAACTGAAATTTTTTCTAGTTCAAGAAGGAGCTAGCATTATCTCTGGATTATTAAAAGCCATATATTGTTAAGTGTTGACTTTTTGAGAATGCCGTCTTCAGCATGGATTATACCTCAATGTAATGAAAACAAAAAGCCTCACAACTTGACCAATGAGCAACAATCATAATAAGCAGAGAAAGGGTTAAGGATTTCATTTTACTTGGATCTACAATCAACAAAGGAGCTCTGGTAGCGTAGTGGTTACGAATCGGGCTGCTAACCTCAAGGTCGGCAGTTCGAAACTACCAGCTGTTCCACAGGAGAAAGTTGAGGCTTTTTGCTCCTGTAAAGATTTGTAGGCTCGGGAACCCTGTGCAGGGTCACTAGGAGTTGTAACTGACTCCATGGTACTTAACAACAACAACAACAATCAACAAGGAAGTAGCAGTTAATAAATCAAACATTATATTGCATTCGACAAATCTGATGCAAAAGACCAAAATGCTTTGTAGGACTTTGAGGATTCAGGGCCCAACACAATGAATAAGGAAGACTGGGTAGGAGTGGATGAATTTGAATAATAGTGTTCAAAACTGCCAGAAAACTGCCAGAAAAACATACAAATCTGTCTTGGAAAAAATATAGCCAGAATGCCCCTTATAAGCAAGGATGTTGAGACTAGTCTCTTGTACATGGGACATGTTATCAAGAGGGGCCAGTCCCTGCAGAAGGTCATCATGCTTGGCAAAGTGAAAAAGAAGACATCTAACGAGATGGATTGACACCGTGACAAAGTGCTCCAACATAACAACAGTTGTGAGGATGGTGCAGGACCAGGCAGAGTTTCTTTCTGTGGTGCATAAGGTCCCCATGAGTTGGAGCTGACTTGAGGCTATGGAACAACAAACAAGTCACAACTCTTCCTATGCAGTCAAAAGTCCAGGTAAGGGACAGTTCGAGAGAGCTCATGCCTTCTAATCACTTTCCAGAACTCTTCTTGTTTTGCATTCATTTCAAACTGAGTATCACATCAGAACTTTTATTTGCAAACAGAACTGTTCTGCCACTCTTAATAATATGACAATCATTTAGTTACAATAATGATTTTCCATTAATAAGGGCTAAGCCTTTATGAGATTTTGGACATCCCAATGATAAATTATTTAAATATAACTGCATTTTGTTTGCATGCTTGTTTGTTTATGTTTTGGAGGAGGGGCAGTCATAGTATTATCTCCTGTGACTTGCTCTCTATAAAAAACAAAACCAACAGCTGTTGTTAGTTCATTCACACTCATGGCCACTCCATGCATCTGAGTAGAACTGTACTCCATGAAGTTGTGTGTGGTTTTTTTTTTAATGCTTATTGTGAATTATGTGATAGTTTACATGGGAGAACATTAGCTTTACATTCATCCTATCATATATCGTTTCATTGCCATGGTTACAATCCCCTCCATGCATCATCAACCAACCAAAGGGTATATCCTGCAAGCCTTACCCCTGGTCATCAGCACACAGCCCCTCTCCCTCTCTGGGTGTAGAGTTCCCAGCTGCTCCATCTCTCCACATCATCGTCTACTCCATGAAGTTTTTAATGGCGGATTTTTCAGAAGACTTCAAAAGAAGTGCTAGTTCCTTCTTTTAAGGTGCCCCTGAGAGGACTCAACTATCCTCCTCTGGCAGGATTAAAACTGCTAACCTTTCAGTTATAGTCACGCCCATGTGCATTAACTGTTTGCACAACTAAAGACTCATCGCTTTCTATTAAAAAATAGGAAAAGAAAATCAAACCAGTTGCTTATGATTCTATCCCAGGTGCCCTTTGGAACCAAGATTGCTAGACCTTTCATCCCAGTGACTCTGAATGGGTTTGAACTACCAACTTTCTGGTTAGTAGTCTAACACTTAACTGATTGCACAATGCTCCATATAGTTCCCAGTATATACTCTGCCCATTTACCTCTTTCTACCTTTGAACTACAAGATGTTCTCTTTTTAGTTTACAGTGAAATTTAAATTCTCCGCTGCAGCTCACATCCCTCATGCTACCAAGTAAGGAAGGTTCTTAGTGTCAGGAAGTCCAATTGAGAATAAGCTCAAGTCCTCTGGCTCCTGGCCTTGCTTCTGGCCATGCTTATAAATAGGTCTTATATGAGTTCGTGTTTCTTACAATGCTGCTTCCAGGTAATACTGTGCATAATCAAGGGACGCTCCCGATGAACCTTTCTTTCTTAACTTGGTATAAATTGTTTCTACAATCTGTGATCGCAAAATCAGGCTCATAAAGGGAGACAGTAAGGATGAGGTTCAAGGAGCCAGAAGCTAATCTTGCTTTATAATCAAAGCCTTAAAGTCCCTCATCCAGCTAGAATGTGCCAGCTTATAGCTGTTGTGATGAAAATTATAGCTAACTGCTTTATTACATGCTATAACAATTGCTATTATGCTAACACTTTTCCCTAAACCCACCTCTGCATACACAGCTGGCAAATGAATTCCTAAATAAATTCCTAATTAAAGCACACACACATACAGAAATCCCACTAAATCTGAAAATGATGGCTTACTTATTATCTCTTTAGATCTTTTACAAAGGAAAGAGTTAGGGGAAGGAGTAGGGCTCAATCTAAGTAACTAAGCATCATCCTTTCCCCTTAGCACAATCTTAAGGTCAGATAGGCATGAAGTCAATGAGATTCCAGAAGATGTTTGCTGCAAGCTTTTGAGCAAGTGGCCTCACTGATCTGAGGGAGCACCCAGAAGCAATTCCTTCCTTTCTCTCTCCTTCCCTCCCTTCTGTTCCTAAAGGCAAGGACTGGCCTTATGGGGATTAGCAGGCATCCTTTGATCCAGGGAGCAGCCAGTCTCCTAATGAAGTTGATGCAAAGCATTGAAATGAAAATGTGTTGCATCCTGGATGATAGTGTTGAGCTGTTGTTACTCAAATCAACCCCAAAGTTTACTGGATTTATATACCCACTTTGGGGCTTAACCAGGTTTAAGCTATTTTTTCTAGTCCTTATGCCCAAACACAGAACTCTTTGTGTGCCACTGTAAGATAAGCAGTGAACTGGTAGCCACAGGTGGGTAGTTCAAACCCACCAACCATTCCTTAGAAATCCTATAAAGGGCCACTGTGTGTCAGAAATGACTCGATGGCACTTAACAACAACAACAACATGCCCAAACACATCCTAACCAATTCAGGACATACCCAGTGTGTTACGCTTTATTCTTGTTTGAAGGCACCTGGGAAAGTGTGGCAAAGACCTCTGTTGAGAAGCAAAACTACAATTTCTATGCAAAAAGCAAATGTAAAAGGCATTTTTAATTACAGTATTCACCAGAGAATCAAAGCACAGCTATGACTCCATGAATCCTCCAGAGCAGATTTGCAGTGACAGGCTGAAACATGCAAAAGCAAACGTAATAAAACAGAAATCAGGTCGTTTACCTGCAAACAGTGCAACGTTGGCATGTTTGGCATCATAAGGGCATCTGGCCATTCCACTAAATTCATCCCCCAAAGGTTCCAAAGAATCCATCTAAATGAAATAACAGGACTCAATAAGGAATAACCACAACTAATAGCAACTAATATTTATTGAACACTTAATGTGCTAAGTGATTCATATGTATTCTTGCAAATAATCACTACAAATAGCCTCTGAAACACAACTACTGGTTTCAGATGGGGATACTGAAGATTACAGAGATTAAATCACTAGATGAAGGCACGAAAACTAGGAGGGTTGGACATTTGGTCATATATGTGTGACTCAACACCATTACAAAAAGCTTATTATCAATATCCTTTTAGAACTGTCTAGAAAACAGTGTCTTTTCTCTTGGAAAAGGAGCTTCTGAGGCAATCACCTGAATTATCTGTTGAGTCATGAGTTCTATAGAGAATGATCTCAGTTTTAGTTTTGTTTTGCCTAAGGAGACCTGCCTTTGTGGGTTAAATCCCAATTGGCAGACAATGGAATTTTTCCTTAGCTTAGCAGGCAGAACACTATGGCATCAGCAAAGATGAAAAACCATGGATGCAAGTAGAGCTCAGTGGCCTTTTGCACCTACTTCAAAATCACAGAATGTTAGCTTTGAACATGTGTCCCAGCTTTACATGGTATAAGTGGGAAACGGAGATGCAGAGGCTGGGGGGCCTCTTACAGGTCAAAAGCAGTAAGGAATGGAGTTTGCATTTGGCTTCGTTCTTCCTAGTGTTTAACAATACCTTGTTCCTTTATGGTAAAGGTTGTAACCGGTTACCAGATACATTTTGTTCAGCAATTTTAGTATTAAAATATAAATGAAAAACTTAGCACAAAATTTTAAAACAAATAAATTACACATAAAACTCCAGATTTAAAAAAAAAAAAAAAAGGGAAAATCAATTTAGGTTCTTCTTAGTCAGACTAGGTGCAACCAGTTACAACTGAATAATGATGCCTTCTTGCTTCAGATAAGCAAATTGTCTCCAGTTCCAAAGAACCTTAACCTATAATCTAAAATGTATTAACATCCAGCTTGCTTCATCCTACAAGCTATCTGCCTGCTCTCTTAGGCATTTGTAGGTTTGGCAGAAACTTACTAGCAGTTCACAGAATTCCATTTCTCTTTCTTCAACGTCACTCCAGATCGTATTTCCCATGCTCCCTAGCTCTCAGTTGTGGCCCTATGACTGAGCTCTGGCAAACGTAACATGAGTGAGTATAAGTGATACACATCACTTGTAGCTATTGTTCTGGAAAATCTCGCAAGGTGCTCCATATTCTGTGCCCATATTTATCCACAAGATACAGAGGTTCCAGTGAAAACTTGTAAGACCTTAGGGGAAGGCAGAACTATGACAAAGAGAGCGTGGCCTTCTGAATAACTTCAGAAAACAAGAGATTCTTGTCACTGACCCACAATCCAGTGATGTGAAAAAGAAATCAGACTACTATTATTCAATTACTATGTTAGTCAAAGTTGGCCTTATAGACTGCTTTCTGCTATATATACCATTCTATCTTCTTCCTTACTCCATGAAATTTTCCTAACACATAAAAATTCAACTCCACCAAGTCCATAAAATAATCTCCGCCATAATCACTAACTTTTTTACATCTCTTTGTGTGTTCAATCTTCTTTATAGTTTTAGTGTATTTTGTTTACCCATTTGGGAGTTAGATGGTTTCACCACTGATATGGAAACTGAAAGAAGATAAACCTAAGGCAACATCGGTGCTGAGGAAGGAGACTCTGAAAGCCCTTCAGTATTAAATCAAGGTGAGTCAAGTTGCTTCTAAGGAGGAAAGCATGAGGTTCTCATGAGCAGAGCAGTTAGTGCTGTCAATTAATTTTATCTTTTCCTCTAACCCCCTAAAAAAACAGTTTGAGGAATATGACAGGTCTTTTCCATTCATAACCACTTTGAAAAGGTCCCTATTGAAGCCATCTTCATTTTTTCTTTTTGATTGTAGAATCACATAAAGCAGCTGTGTTGAAAACATGTATTTTTAAGTGAAAAATGTTCAAGTCTGACATTCTTTAAAGCAAAGCACTCTGCCTCCCAGCACATTTTTATTAGTCTTTTTCTGATATTTTATCCCAACAAGAGCTTCCTGTTGAACTGTGACAGACTTTGCGGTCTGTGGGTCTGGCAAGTATTCAAAAGTGATGCTCAGTACACAATGATGCAATGGAAATACTCTTATCCCAAGCAGTACATGCTGTAATCCTGCAGTGGGGAAACAATATACCAGAGAGACTTATTTTTTTCCATGTACCTGCTTTCAAAAAATTGGGAAGAATTAATATATTGGTTTGTGAGTTTGAAAAGGACCAGAGACAAAACAATTCCATGATGACATCTTCCTTCCATGAAGAAAGAACTAATCCTTGTGGTAGTCATCAAATAGCAGACTTTACAGTAGCCCCTGGGAAATTAAATCACCATAGGGTACAGGTAATTAGACCAAGAACCAGCCTGACCTTCACAGAGGTTCAAGAGGTTTAGAGAACAAGAGGGAGAATTGGAGGGAAAAGGCATAGATTGAAGTTTGAGATTTATAATGGGGAAGCCTTCAAAATTCCTCCCCAGATACTGTTGTTTGGGGCTATAATCTTTCTAACACATTACATCTATGTCCAACTGTATAAATCAAGGCGCAGTAGAGGCAGAGACTGAAAAATCTGTCATCCTTCTGAATCAATTTACCAACTTGTTGCTCTTGTGTTATGAGACTTAGATTGTTATGTTATGATATGTTATGTTATGTGACAGATTTTTCAGTGGGAAAAACTTTGTTTTTGCTGTAATTGTCTGGTCTTAATTTATCAAAAAAAAAAAGTAGTGTTTACTAAGGAAACAAACTTAAAAAGGATATTCATTCTTCCTATAGCAGATACATTATGTCCCATGTCATCAGCAAAGTCCCTCTGTGCTCTGAGTACAAAACAAGCCTTTTTTTAGAGTCATGCCAACTGTTTTCACTGTCATCCACAGAGACACACATTTAGACGGAGGCTGAACATGCAGAACGTCCCTGCCTGTGGTTCTGAGAGGCTCAGGCTCTTGCAATGGAACATGTCTCAGCAGGTGTGGCTGGAACAAGCAAAAGGTGAAGGTATCACTACAGGTGAGCCATCTTGGGGAATGGAACATGTGCAGGAAGAATGAGATAGACCACTCACAGCTCATGTATCACAGTGCCAAGAAAATCTGTAATTTGTCATAAAAGATAGCTTTCCAGCTAGGGTATTCCTTAGGAGTTGTTAGAAGTATTCATCTTAATGAGTTCTAAACAATGATAAACAGGGATGGAATATTAAGTGGTAGAGTTGATGTTGAAACTATTTCCTGTCACAGGCTTGAGTAAATATGCTGGTCAGGCAGGAGGTTGCTTCTGTTATGTAAAAGTTTGTCTATCATTTTGCTCATGATGAACGTGTCTTGCATTAATTTTGATTAAGATATTACATTACAAATATCATTTATCTTGATTACTGAATTTATGATTTTGTACTTGAGGCAAGTGTCTCTCTTGCTTCACCCTAATTCTGACCTTGTTGGTACCCATTTCTAAACATAAGACTAATGGTGTGTGAATGTGGGGATAAAATACACCCTCCCTTCAACTACTATGCAAACAAAAGGAAGAGGGCCTTTAAAGCTGTCAAACCAAAAGCTAATGAGACCTCTGGTTTAGGTTCCAGTTCATTACCACTTTCTCAAGCTTCACAGTCCCTGGGTTTCATTACTATCAGTGCTGATGAAACCCACTTTTCTATTTTTACCCAAAGGTTTTCTTGAGTGAAGGCTTACCACATTCATCATTTTGCCAGATCTATTCAGGTACCACAGGCATTGCCATCCAGCACGAGGCATACTCACCATGCTCAGAACTGAACTCACCATCTTCTCACTAACCCCACCAAACCACTGCTTTTCCTTTATTTTCTGTCTTGGTCAGTGGCAGCCCCATCTAGTCACTCGCTCCAGCCTGGTAGTAATTCTCTCTCTCTCTCCTTATCCTAGGCATCAATCTTTAAATCCTACTGAGTTTTGTCACTTATATATTTTCCTGACTCTATATACTTCCCTTCATCCCTGGTCTCTTTCTTGTTATCACTTGTCACTTTACAATCCAACCCTTCAGAACCAAATGGAGTTTCTCAGGCTTACTAGGCTGTTTTTTATCCTCTGCCCTTTTTCATGTTGTCTGGAATGTTCTTCTCCCTTCCACTAGCTAACTTCTACTTTAGCCAAATGCAAGGCATTACCACGGTCTTTCATATATTCCACAATCATTTATAGAGTAGCCGTTTGGAATTATGACAAGGGTCTAGACAAGCAGACATGGTCTTTATTCTCACAGAACTTATTTATTTCTTATGAGTTAGACAGGGGTATTATGTGTATGAGAACATTAGTTGGGAACATTGAAGGGAGGGGTAATCTACCTCTTCTAGAAGCCTTCCCCAGGTTAGGTTCACTACTGTTAAGTCATGCTCCCAGTTCAATAGGGCAGCAATCCCATGGAATTGTAGTTTCTTACTGATTGGCTTTCTTCCCTAAGGGTGAGGGTCTCCTATTTGCCTTTACAACCTCAGTGCAAAGCCATCGCAAAAACTCCATAGTCATTTAATGAGTGAAAGGTTTACAGGAAGAAGGGGACAAGAACGATAGATAACTGATGGAGAGCAAAGATCCTAGATCATGGTCACCTCTGCTTGCACAGCTGGTGAACTCCCTGCTTCTTAAGGGACACCTCTACTAACTGTGTGTCAAGACTAACTAGACGTACTAACTTTGTGGGCAATTTTATCCCCCCACCCCAACCCCCTCCCCCCACTGCATAAAGACAATGGTGAAGTATCACATCACAGGGTATTTTTCTGACTGTTAAAATGGAATTCAATTCCAGAGTTCTTTAAAATTGTACTTAGAAGAAAGCCTATGCAGTTTCAAATGGCATGTTCTTGAGACGTCTTTTAAATGAGAATTCGTTCACAGTATATGTGCGTTTTTATGCTCAGAAAGGAGATGACGGGGGTATGAAGGAGAAAGAGAGAGAAAGCCAATTCACATGCTGTACGTGGTTAGTATGCCGGTTTTCCAAACAATAAAGAATAGGGTCTTACAGAAACCAACTTTGCTGTGTAGGCTCTTTAAATATGTGTCAATCAATTCTGAACAAACAGGAAGCTTAGAAGCCTGCACAGGATCATTCATGTGGAGCAATACATTAAGTTGAACAACGGAGAGGAACTCGGGTGGTGTTGAATTACCCCTCTTAGGTTGCTGCAGGTACAATCACAGTAAATTATGAAATACCTCCTGGATGTGTGGTTCCAGGCAGAGAAAATAGCATTTACCTTATAGTTTCTGCAGGAAGGGTTGAAGGCATTAGTTCCACAAACAAACAATGTATCATCATTTTTCTTTAGAAGGACTTTAATAAAGTTGTGACACTCATCCTGAAAAATAATTTAAACTTTTTTGTATTGGTACATTCAACAAAGGGACCCATTCTTCACATTATACCATAGTCTACTCAGCCAAACCCACCCCACTGCCTTCAGCTCAATTGGGATTCTTAGTGACCCTGTAGGACAGAATAGAACTGCCCCAAAAGGGTTTCGAAGGCTGTAAATATTTACAGAAGCAGACAACCACACCATTTTAACTTAGACCCACTGGTGGGTTTGAACTGTTAGCAGCTGAGCACTTAACCACTGCACCACTGGGGCTTCCAATGTGCTCACAGGAGGGTTAAAATGAAGGCAGCTAGCTGCAGAGCTCTCCTATAAAAGTTTGAGCTCCTCCAGCTATTAGCCAGAACAATTGCTTTTCAACAGCAAATAAAAACTTGATACAAAATGAAAGAGTGCTCTCAGGTCACAAGGATGAGGCAAGCCTGGAAGCTCCAACATCCTTATCATAATGATTTTAATGCAAAATGCTCCAGGGTCCCTTGATATACAACGCTCATGGTTGAAGTGTGTTTTTATGTTGTTTTATGACCGAAGGCAGAAAACCCTGTAAGTCTGTGTCAGCCTTTTATGAGCGCTTCCCCGACTCCCTGTGGGCTCTGGGCTTTGAGGTGGGGCTATTGGACAGCCAACTTTGTGCCCATAATCCCTAGTGCACCTAAGTAGTTCATGATGCAGCCTGAGCAGCTGCCGAAATGTTTCATCACATTAAAAGCAAACTCTTTTTGCAAATGAAAGCCTTCAATAAGTTGATGGAAAAAGCAATTACTAGGGAAAAAATGAATGGCATGATCCATTCCACATCACAGTCAACGGCTGGAGTTAACAGTCAAAACCTTAACCTGAAGTGGCAGCTGTAGGAGAAATGAAAATTACATACCTTATGTTTTCCCTTCATTCTGCACGTGTCTACATCAGCCTGTCTAGATTTCCATGTCAGTTTCTGCCAGGATCAAGAAAGAAATCAATTAGAGCCCAGAGGTTGTTGCATTTGATTTTAGAAGCAAGAGTTCCTTTGGGGAAACTAGAGGCTGAATATATATTTATTGAAAGTTTTCTGCACCCTTTCTCCATGATTAATTCACCTTAACAACCAAAGATTAGAAATGGAAATGTTCATTTAATTTTGAACTCCTGTCCATTCATTAAGCTACAAAATGATCTTCTCTCCGAGATAAAGAGAAAGGAAGAAGAATAAACAACAGTTTGAAATTTTCATATAAAATATCACAAAATTTAACTTGCTAAATTACGCTCAGTTTGGTAAAATTCATGTCTTACCCTTTCTTTTCAATTGATACATCAATTTTCATCAAGCAGGCTTTTCCCCTAATATATGAAAGTCAGTTTCTTATGCATAGAGAGGATGTTCAATCAACTGGACAAAGATTAACTCAAGTTATTCTCTGTCATGTAAGTTAACGGACTGAAGGAACCATCTATTTCTGTGAACAGACTTTATTAACTAAAATACCCCTATATGGAGCATAAGGAAAGTTAGGCTATACTTTATGTTTTTCTGAAATGGATACTGATCAAATTCCTGAACCACAACAGTCAAATCAAACTTAACATTGCAAGATATGGGAACAAATCAATGAAAAATTTGTGGAATACATTTCTGGGATAAAATTTTACATCTAAAAATTGGTATTTTTCTGGCACAAACATGGTTGTGTTTTACTAAGGGAATTTTGAAATTATCTAACACTCCAAACTGTATATGCACACATAATTAATAACACACGATGTACGTAACATTTCTGAAAACTTGATATGCCTTGATCTATTCCCAAATTAGAAGCCAGTTACGGTAAAGTTGGTTCTGACTCATAACTATCCCATGTGTGTCAGAGTAGAACAGTGCTCCAAAGGATACTCAATGGCTGATTTTTCAGAAGTGGATTGGCAGGTCTTTCTTTTGAAATGCCTCTGAGCATTACTCAACCAATATCCTTTGGTTAACTGTCGAACATGTTAACCATTTACATCATCCAGGGCCTCTACTCCCAAATTTGGATCCACAGAATCTCTAAATTATTTTTAATCATACCATCTCAAAAAAATGTGCTTTAAAATACTCAATTCTCTTCAAGAAGCATGTCTCAGAAATATGATTTTAAGATTACTTACTTTGCTACAATAAATTTCTTCTGCATGTGTTGTGTCTACATCAACAGTATAAATATGGTCCCTGTAAGCAAAGAAAAATTAATATAAAGTCAAACATGATAGAAAACCACAAGAGTTAAGACAGCTTATTTTCTACTGAATGAATTATAGACACTCAAGGCAGATAAATCTATATTCATGTTACTTAAAAAAATAATAACAAAAAATCCCCAGACATTTATATATGAGAAAAAGAGCCTACCAGAGAGGTTCTGGATGGCATTCAGCATCTTTTTGGATGGAGGACACCTTGTTCTCAGAAACACCTTTTATAGAAAACTTGCCTTTAGTCAATACTCTATTTGATACAAAAACTACAGCAACATCTGTATATATGTAGTTCAGGAAAAAGGACTGTTGTGGTTAAGTGCCATCAAGTCAGTTCTGACTTACAGAGAACCTTTATAGGGTTTCCAAGGAGTGAATGGTGGATCCCAACTGCTGACTTTTTGGCTAGCAGTCCAGTGTTCATCCTACAGAACCATACCAGGACTCTGAGAAAAAGGCTCTGAATTTTAAATTGGTCCAAAGGTTGGAAGACAGATGGGTTCACATGCCCTTTAAGTGTCTTCAAATCCAAGTACCAAACACTTGGTATTCAACATGTCACATTTGTTCAGCACGGGGGTTAACATAAAACTAATCTTTGTCTTCGTCTCTTTAGAAAATTTATTTCCAGTCTTAGCTTTGATGATTTGATCGACAAGATACAAGTGGAAAGAGATAATGGAGGTAAAATTATTTCCAGAACCACTCTTTTCTTCACACAATGATGGTCAATTAAGGTCTAAAATGTACTTGGAGCTGAAGTTTATATTTCTTGCTTCTGTTCACCTTCCTGTTTTGCTGAGAATTTGTTTCTCTTTACAATTTGCTGCCAATCTCCCTTTGGAAGGGGAGAAACAGAATCAGCAGCTCAGGTGTGGGGCTATATTTAAACATCCCCTTCTGTGTGAGCTGAGTACAAAGGCGTTTTTGTCCGGGATTGAGAAGAAAGAAAAGAACTACCCTCAATTGGGGAGAAGAGGGGCTAGTGAAGGAAAGCAAAACAGTTCATTTTCCCTTGAAATAATATTGACTTTTTCTAAAATGCAGGAAGTCCTGGGGCTGGAAAATTATTTTAAACTAGGGCCTCAAGACTCTGAGGCAGACTTTCAAGCCCCCTCATTATTAGAAAGAGACAAAGAAAGGAGAACTGTATTTACTTAGGATACTCTCCCCCACCCCACTCCGTTCTTGGAAAATCTGTGTTTGCTACTGCTTTTAGGGAACGCACAACAGAGAAAGAAAAAAATTACAAAGAGACTCTCTTACATGAAAATAAAAAGAGAATGCAGGGAAGTTGGCTTACAGAATTGCCTTGCTTGCCTGCCATGGAACTCTGAGTTGTGTGTGTGTGTGTCTGTGTGTGTGCATATAAAGGTGGTGTGAGAGAGAATAGGGAACCTCATTTTTTAAATTGCTGAACTGGGAAGTTTCTTGAAACTTTAGGAGGGTGCCAGAATCACCCTGCCCTTTAATTTCAAGTCATTTTTATTGCATTTGTTTATTACTTGCTTGACTTTATTGGTGGTATGGTGGTCAGGCTCATTATGGGAATGGAATTGCCTATTACTTTACTATCAGGTTTGATATGACTCTGGGCTTTCCCTTGCCCTGCCACCCCTCAAAAAAAAAAAAAAAAGTAAGAACTGAATCTATGAATTGTAAATTAACAACTGATTAATATTCATTGGCTCCTCCTCAAAAAGCTCTGAGATTGCCCCTTCTGGCATGGTCTATTTATGTTAATTAGCAGTTTAGAGATTTAAAAAAAAAAAAGAATAATTTATAAAGTAGATAATAATAAAGCAGATTTGAAAGGGGTTCTTGCCACCAGCCTCACTCAGTCCCTGGGTTCTGGACGGGACTTGGCTACGGATTGCTGGCACCAATTGTCTAGAAGAACTGGGAAGCCTTTTAAGAATAGAATTGGATGAATGAAATCTCCTTCTGGACAATGGCAATCTCTTTCAATATCCAAAAGATCACATTGCCCCGGCAAGCAGAAACAGTGCTTTCTAGAGTAAACCACAGACCAGGGTTGAGGGTTATTCTTAGACATCATGTGTTCATCCCAGGCTTCATACACTGTGTTGGCTGAATTAAGTTATTTGAACACAAACTGATTTAATCCTATGACTTCCTCTTGCCTGCTCCAGCAAGCAACATTGAATTGTGGGTTGCCATGGTGTGCGCTTGTGGGAAGGATTTAACTTTAAATCGTGTTACTTGCTGCCTAGGAACCTCGATCTCTCAGGGCAGTGGTGGGAAATGTGAAAATAAGAGAAGCCACAGAATTACTCTAGGAAATTTTCCAAGGGTTAGCCTTGAGGGTAAGTGGGTACATTTGATAGGAGCCCTTGCTAGTCTACAGGTGGGTGATTTGAACCCACCAGCTACTCCGTGGAAATCTGCTTCCATAAAGAAGTGAGGCCTTGGAAACCCTATGGGGCACACTATGAGTAGGAATCAATCCAACAGCAATGGGTTCTTTTGGTTGGCTGAACATGGGGTCAAAACTAACATGCCCAATGAAAGGGTGTTACAAACTAGACCTCTAGCCAAAGACAAGTCTATTTAATAGTTGTTGTTTTTAAATGAATACTTCTTCCTTTTCTTGGGATGAGAATTAGTATAAAACATCATGGCGTTAATGAGCTGGAATAATGGTCACTTTTAAGTTTGCATAATACCTTGCTCCATGCTCACCTGTACTATACTACAGTCTAAAACCCACCTGTAATCCACATGCATGCTAAATCACTGGATATAAGGGCAGTCTATTATACCAATCCCCACCCTAACCCCAGTGACACAATGCAAAGTGAAGAATTCATACGCATCTCTTGAGTTCACCTATATCTCACAAATCCAAGGTGTCATCATTTGTTTTGGTCAGCCATTTGATAATGGGATACAAATGTAATTCCTGAAGCCTGCTGTTTCTAGAAAACTAAAAGTAATATTTAAGAAGCAACTGGCATTCTCCCAGAGAGGTGGCTACTGAGGACCTTACTCATTAATGCTTTTTAATGAATGCTACAATGGTTATTTTCTTTGGCAGCAGCGGCTATCAGAAGTTTATTACTAGGGAAAATAATAATGCTTCTACTGCTTGATGGGCAGCACATATAACAAATAATAAATAGCATGGACTCTAGAGACCAACATGGTTCAAATCCTGCCTCCCTCATGCTGGTACCGTCATTTAGCTGTTGTATACCTTGGGTTTCTCTCCTAAGATAATGTACAATAATAGCTCCTTCTCATAAGGTTGTTTGGAGGGTTGAATGAGTTAAAATTTATAAAGAATTTATAACCATATTTGCAATTTATACTTTAAGTGCTTTTGAGTTGGTTCTGACTCATAGCAACACTGTATAAGGCTTTTCAGGAGTGGCTGGTGGGTTTGAACTGTCGACCTTGTGGTTAGCAGTTGCAGTTTTGGCATTATTTTCTGTAACCAAATATGGGGGACTCTCAGGGTGTTCGGCAAATGTTTTTAAAATTTCATGTTGCAAAGCATGAAATCTCAGAACTTCTATGCACATTGGAAGAATCAAGCACTGTTGCTGTTGACCTCTCATTACCTATGCGCAAAGCTAGGTAAGTATCACAAACATTATTTCTAGTTCATCTTCCCTGCATGAAAGATTAAACAATCTGGACCCACATAAGACCAGAGTGCAACCTCTTAAGTCACTGTTCATTTATAATTGTTCTGAATCAGCTATGCAATTAAAAAATGTGGGGATTACATATTGTTAGAATTTCAAAGTACTTCATTAAAATAATCTAATCCAATCTCTCATTTGACAGAGAACACTTATGGACAGATTACATTGTCATCCAAATAAACTAAGGGCAGAATTAGAACACAAGTCTAAGTCCATGTGATCCCTGTTCAAGCAGTACTGGTAAAATGTCATTCAGTGTTTAGACATGAACTGTCTGAAAGACCACAGCCTTCCATACGGATTGCATCTCAACGTAAAGAAAACAAAAATCCTCACCACTGGACCAATAAACAACATTCTTATCAACTGAGAAAAGACTGAAGTTGTCAAGGACTTTCATTCTTCCTGGATCAACTGTCAACACTCACGGAAGCAGCAGTCAAGAAATCAAACGACATATTACATTAGGCAAATCTGCTGCACAGGAACTTTTTAAAGTGTTGGAGAGCAAAGATGTCAGCTTGAAGACTAAGGTGCGCCTGACCCAAGCCACGGTGTTTTCTTTTCAATAACCTCATAGGGAGCCAAAAACCTGTCACCTCTCCATACTCTGTTAACCCTGTACTCCCCCCAACCCTCATCCTTCTTCCATTTCAGCTCTCCAATGTGGTCCCGAGTCAACTGGGAGCTGTAGGGGACCATCTTGCACACCCCTTAAGTCATCAGGAAGGACTTCAGGTGTTCTGACTGTCACATGCATGTGAAATCTGGACAGTGAATGAGGACCATAGAAGAACTGGTGCTGCTGAGTTATGGTGTTGGAGGGGAATATTGAAAGTGCCATGGGCTGCCAAAAGAACCTATAGATCTGTGTGGGAAGAAATGCAGCCAGAGTGCTTTTTGGTGGCCAGGATGGCCAAACATCGTTTCTCATACTTTGGACATATTGTCAGGAGGGACCAGTCGCTGGAGAAGGATATCATGTTTGGTAAGGTTGAGGACCAGAGAAAAAGAGGAAGACCCCTAGCGAGATGGATTGGCCAAGTGGCAGCATCAGTGGGCTCAAGCGTGGCAACAGTTGTGAGGTTGGCCCAGGACTGGGAAGTGTTTCGTTCTGTTGTGCATAGGGTCACTATGAGTCAGTACTGACTGGATGGCACCTAACAACAACAACAAAATGCATGAGGTATGAGTAGTCTTTTAGTAGAGTCATATCATCCATAATCTATTATATTTATGCTTTCATTAGATGCCACTGCCATTCTGCTAACAAATGATATATACTGATGTTCGACGAACAAATGTGAATAAAATTAATATACACACGCCTACATACACACTATATAATACATGTTTATGAATTCAATGAAATTTAACAAACAAGTAGCAAGGAGCGAAGCACTCTATTAGATGCTGAGTAAATATTTGGATATATGTTCAGGATAAGCAGTGGATTATTTGGGTTTAAGCTCTAAAATATGTAATTATTTCAATCTAAATCCACATAATGCTAAAGAGTCAGAAAAAATCTTGAAAGAATGAGTGATTCATGCACTAAAATAACCTTCAAATTTAAAGACGGCTTTGTGTGGGAACCTCAAGATCTGAAAAAATGACGCACAGCCAGGACTTTGGACCTTTGTTGTTGTTAAGTGCCATCGAGTCGGTTCCGACCCATAGCGACCCTGTACAGGGTTTCCGAGGGTGTAAATCCTTACGGGAGTAGAAACCCTCATCTTTCTCCCGTGGAGCGGCTGGTAGTTTCGAACCGCTGACCTTAAGGTTCACAGCCCAATTCGTAACCACTACGCTACCAGAGCTCCTTTGGGAGTACTGAAAGTAGATATGAAGGAAAAGTCACTTACCTAGCAGCAATGTAGAGGGTTTTATTCATGATCATAATCATCTGGATGTCCAGCCTGTGCCTCTGTGTGGTGTTCCGTCCTGGCTTGTGGCCCACAAACACCGGATACTGTTTTGTATCTGTGAAAAAAGATGGGTCAAGAGAGGGAAAAAGAAATCAAGCCAAGAACCGATAGGGCATGAATAGGTGGATAATAAGACAAAACCATGTCAAAGTCAGAATTTGCCACCATTTCCATCAGAAATACCAGGATAGAATAGTACTCTTATAGGTTCATCAAGTTACTACTTAAATTCTAGATGATAAAGAGTAATAAACCTGGACTAATAGTTCGATGTGTCACAATTTCAGAGTTGTCTCTCTTCCTGGAGGTTAAACTTGCTAGTGAACCCTTTACATGAAGGTGTTCTTTTCTTCCAGTTTTCTTTTCATCTTCTGTAGAGTGCTAAGCCTGAGGGGCAGTCTGCCAAAGATCTTGTCTCGGGACAAAACTATTTCAAAGCAGCCTTCCCATCAATCACCACAAAGGCAATGTGGTCTAGAGGCGAGAGCCTTCATCCTGGAGCCAGAAGAAAAATACAGTCTCCACAGGCGTCCAGTTGGAATAATCCACTATTGAAGGCTGCCCCATTAGGTTGGTTGGCATTCTAGGAACTGTGGGAAGTTCACTCGAGTTGAGCAATTGGCTAATCTCACAAAAATTGAGGCTTTAGCAGGACAGGGTCAAACGGAGTGTAGCCAGTCGGGTGGATCCGGAATTTTCCCTGACTTGGACAATCAATGAGCATATTTCTCTTTTTTTGCAGTTCTCTTTGGTTGGGAGTGGGCAATTTGTAATAATATCTGACCTTTAGAAATAGCTACATCTCAACATCTTTCTGCCTTTAAACCTACAATCTCCAGAGTTCTGGCAATCTTCCAAAGAAACTAAGGAGGAAAGAAAGATGAGTCATATTTTAAAGGCAGTTGTTTTCCAGAGGTGTAAATAATGAATAGAAAACCATTCACAGATTAATGTTCAGATCTCTACACTTTCCACCCCTCTAATATCTGAGAAAGCCCCAGTATATTTTACTCACATTCAAGCTTGGTATGGGATCATTTTGTGCTTTTCCATCATTGTTCTGAAAGTTCATTTAACTATCCGCCCAAGAAGTGGCAAAGTAATATGTTTCTCTGCTATCACGGACTCAAGTGATCATTTAAGTAAGATTTTCAGCAGTATATTTGGACTGAAAGGAGCTCTGGTAGCTTTCCAAATCGCACTGCTAATCTCAAGATCAGCAGCTCGAAACTACCAGCGATTCTGTGGGAGAAAGATGAGGCTTTCTGCTCCTGTAAAGATTTACAAGCATCGGAAACCCTGTGCAGGGCCACTATGGCTCGAAATTGACTCAACAGCACTTAACAACAACAACATTTCGACTGAGGAGGCTTTTGTATTGTGGCACTAAAGATAAAACATAGTCCTGAGTGGAAATTACTAAATGCTTGCTAAGTGTTTGCACTTCGATTTCGGTAGACTCTGCTATTTTTCGAGTGGTGATATTGAACCACATAATTTGGTTTTTCATTATGCCCTTTGACCATTTATTCGCTAATTCTTTGGTCAGTCTTGCCTCTTCATCTTTAGTAAAATTGTCATCCAGCAGAGAAGCATTGAAGGACTTGCTAGTGGTCCGTGTTAATGTTAAATACCCTTTGTCAGTTTCATTTTGTTTTTGTTTTGAGAACATTCTGGGAGATAAACAGTTGAGAAAAAATGTTCTCTTTCACCTTTACTGTGATAAAATACTTTGTCTTTTGGAAAACAGGAAAAATGAATAGTAATTTAGGTGTTCTGTTCAACACAGCTACGACTTTGTCCTTCTGAAGAGATAACTGAATTGTTAATCATATTGAGGATCTATTCCAGACAATATGGCAGAGACCAACAGAAAGTCTATAAACAGTTAAAATAGGTAGGTCCTAGGTGAATTCAAAATACGCTAAATTCTAGTCTGGCAAGATATAACTTCTAAGTCTAAAAAGCTGTAATTTTGTTCCCAAATTATTTCAAAAAGTTCATTATTTTCTGCTCTTATCTTGTAACAATGGCCATAGATTAATTACATATGAAAATGTGTAGCACTGTCCGATAATAGTGATATTTTCCCATACAGTTGACTTAAATAATGACCCTAGTCTCCATGTAGTAGTTGCAACTTGATAAAAAGGTATGAACATTTCAAATCTTACATAGACACGTCTCCACAACATATGGTGGAGTTATTTAAGTCACCTCGTTAATTTGATTTAAACCTGAATTATGCAGTTTTGCCATCTCCATGGGTTAAAATGACAAACAAATCTTTATAGATAGACTCATATATATTCTTTATTCAACAATTTCTACACGGTTGTTCAGCAACACTGTTTATATCTATTCTGGTTGTTCCAGTTCTATTCATCTAGTTTCCCTTCCCCCTTACATTCTCATCTTTGTTTTAAAGTAATTGTTTATGGTTTGGTCTCATTATCAGTGATATAAAATATAAATCCTAATTTTTAATATTTTATTTTTTACTGATTGTTGTTATTTGTTGTTAATTGCCATCGAGTCAGTTACAACCCATAGAGACCCTGTATAGAGTTTCCAAGGAGCAGCTGGTGAGCTTGAACCGCCAACCTTGCAGTTCAAATGGCTTTGCAGTCTGGTGCATTAACCCACAGCGCCATACCAGGAGTTTACTGATTGATGTAGGCTAAAATGATTGCACGAAGGAAGGAAGAGTCAAATTCCACAATTTACTTACAGTTGCCATGCGAAATACTGATTGGCTCAGAATCTTCTGGGAAACCAGCCCCAGCAAAGTGTAGCAGTGTGAAATATAGTAGCAAGGCTTCTGACCTCATAGTAGTTCAGCGGGGAGACTTTATTGCTCTACTTCACCCTGCCAAAGAGCAGAAAAGGAATTTTGTTTTTGCAAGTCAGCTTTATTCAACTACATAAAATGATATGACCTTGCAGATAAATCCAAGGGAAAAGGGGCTGCTGCCTCCCATTGTGAACTGGTTATTGTGTTTTACATGAGGAACAGGTATCCGCTGCCTACTGAATTTTCTTACCTATACATTTGTGTTTTCTTAAAGATGTTTTTTATGTACAGAAAAATTATCCTAAATCTTAAAAATAAAAACAATTCCATGATGGGCTACAGTAAACATCACATAACTTTCAAGCACATTTTGAGTGTTGATCTATCAAAGAAATTAATGTAAAAAGGGGATATCTTTTCATCTTTCTAGAATCAGAAAGCCTTTGAAGTAGCTGCCAAAGATTATCTTTTTTTGAACAAAGCTACTTTACAGTGGTCCATCAATCATTTAAGATTTGTGTGTAGAAAAGTCAAATGTAATAACCTAGATGTCTTTGAAAGTTAATTTAGCAAACAAACTGCTAACATGTGCTCTTTAGAATACCGTTTAATATTAGATACCTGTCTCTTCTTCACGCCAAAAAAAAGCATTAACAAGTCCCGAGTGTTGCATTGCAACTTATAATTTCACAGACACAGCTGGGTCTTAATCATTTCTTCAATTGAAAAGTGCACATTAATTAATTGGCTTTATCTTGAAAATCAAAGAAGGAGAGAGGTTGAGAGAAAAGCCCTGTAACAATTCCCTATCTCTAGCTCTGATGTGTAGATTAAAATTTAACTTTAAGTGATTACTTATTCACAAGGGTGATCCATTACCAAGAGACATAAACATGTTTTTATAGGCAGGTTAAAAGCAGCAGTCTTTTCATTCATTTATTTGTCAGATCTTCCATATTATAGAGAATCTGAACCCTAAGGATAAAGAGTCTGAGGTGCCCCTCTCTGCTCATGGCTCCTGTTCAGTACAATATTAAAAGGGAGGAATCAATAACAAGAGTAAGTAAAACACAAACCGAACACCATTCAGCTGTTACTTTTTAAATAATAAAGTACATAAGATAAAAAGAAGCAGTGGCATTCACCAAGGGCTCAAGAGCACCATTATAGTATTATACAGAAGCATATTACCGCAGAGTTTGCCACAGGACTCAAAAGGTTGATTCTCGTTCCTTTAGAAATCATTGAAAATAATGCACACTTTTCAAGATTAAGTTTCCTTAAAGGCAAACTAATTTCTATCCTTCCATAACTATGTTCATCTTTGCACACAAATCCTACAAGCTAGTAAGTTAAAGTCCTGCTAATTTATTATACCCACCAGGTAGTTCACATGTCTAGCCTATGGATGAAAGTGTTCAAAGTATTGATTAATCTTGGCCTGTTCACAGGAACACTTCAAACTTTTCTTCATCTGATGTTTTGATGCAATATTTGCTTGGTTAATGCACCAGACTGCAAAGCCGTTTGAACTGCAAGGTTGGTGGTTCAAGCTCACCAGCTGCTCCTCGGAAGTACAGGGTTGCTAAGGGTCGGAATTGACTCAATGGCACTTAACAACAACAACACTCAACCTTGGGTCCTATTCCATTTAAATAGGCAAACAGTATAGCTTCTTGTAGAAATGACTACCCTGTTTAGGGATCCCAACTCTATGAGGTGGACATTTCCCAGCTTGCAGAAAATGGGCTGAGTCTTTCCCGCTAAGACTACAGAAATACAGACATAATGTGTCCATCAGCACAGGAAAGCAAAACAAACAAAACTTTCCAAAAGCTAGAGGTTGATCAGCTGCTGCAAACTAAAGAGATTATTAAAGTAATTTTCGAACCCCAAAAGTATTTCATACCTGTTGTTGTTGTTGTTATGTGCTGTGGAGTGAGTTCCGACCCATAGCGACCCTGTACAGGGTTTCTGAGGCTGTAAATCTTTACGGGAGCAGAAAGCCTCTTTCTCCCGCAGAACAGCTAGTAGTTTTGAACTAATGACTGTGCGATGAGCAGCCCGATTTGTAACCACTATGCTACCAGAGCTCGGTATTTCACACATACAGCATATTTATACGTAATTGTACACATTTGTTGATTTTTCTTTCTGTGGATGTACTTATATAGGCTAAATATGGAGTCCTGGTGTGGTGCTATGGAGTAATGCAATGGACTGCAAGGTCGGTTTGAAAAGCAAGGTTAGAGGTTCAAGCTCACCAGGCGCTCCACTCTTGGGGAACACTATACAGGATCGCTATGGGTCAAAACCAACTCAATGGCACTTAACAACAACAAATAAGACTAAGATTGAAGCAGTAACCCAGAAAAGTATATCAGGGAAGGTTATTCATACGAAAAATTCTAAACAGAAGCATTTTATTTCTTCTTATATCTGACTTTCCAAATAACTGTCTCAAGCTTCCATTATTCTTTGCCTGAATACAAATGGTCTTTGTAAAATACATGATTACAACAAAAAGTTAAAAACGACTCTGTGCTTCAACCCATGAAATTCATGGAAAACCCTAAGAAGCTTCTTAATTTTAATAGGTACCACTTGTGAATTTGGTAGCGTAGTGGGTACGAATCGGGCTGCGAACCTTAAGGTCAGTGGTTCAAAACTACCAGTCGCTCCGCGGGAGAAAGATGAGGCTTTCTACTCCCGTAAAGATTTACACCCTCGGAAACCCTGTACAGGGTCGCTATGGGTCGGACCCGACTCGTTGGCACTTAACAACAACAACAACTTGTGAATTTAAGTCTACTTAGGTTCATTTAAAATTAATTACACAATTTTATTGTGAGTCTGATAGGGAAGGTTTAAGTTGACCAAACAATCTAAGTTTAGACAAAAATATTTTTTATTGTAGCTTTTCTCATTAAATTCCCCAAGAACAACTTGAGTACCAGAACTGTGATGTTTGGACTATCGGTTGTCTTGAACCAAATGGCCAGGGATGGACTTTAGGTATTTCAGACTAAGAACCAAACACAAGAGGTTCAAAAGACATTTGTCTGAAAATCTGTAAATTGTTTGTGAATATATTCATCTTGATCATTCTTTTTTAAATAATCAAATCTTATCATTCTCTGGAGTATCCATCTATTCCTACTTGCCAAGTAAACCCCATCCACCCATCCCTAGTTATTCAGCAGGTTATTGTGGTAATAAAACACAAGCAAAAGGAATGTTACTGGTACTGAAGTACAAGTAAAGTTGGAGAATGATGTCATAAATTGTGTACATCTCACTATACTACTGGTCAACCAGAATCATTTCATAAGAGTCATTAGGTGCAAATAGATAGTACCCATTTGACCTAGCTTCGATGGCTTGATGATCAAGACTCAACTAGAGGAATATAAAAACATTTTGATATTGGATACAAGTGAAAATTGCTACAATTTGAGGAATATGACCTATACTTACAGATGTAATAGCTCAAAGTGCCAACTGAGAGGGAAGGAATCTTCACATCAAGGATCAATCCTATTCCCTCTGTACACAGGGTTAATAGGGATGGGCAACTTAGACATGGATACCTAAAATGGGGGGAGGGGTACAATAAAGGCATGAAATGACTGGCTTAGAAGTCTTCAAGGGAGTTTAGTTTCAGAGTGTGTGGGGGAAGGTAGAACCTCCACTGAATAGTTTTCAACTTGCTAGGCGGGACTGGTGAAAGGAGATGGGGATAAGATTCTTATGATTTAAAAGTGAATAATTGTTATCATAACTGATTGTGATGGTCACAACTGTAAAGGTAGAAGTTTTATAGCAAAAAGAGGGGAGTAGTTCATCTTACAGCCCAGGAACAGAGGACCCTAGGAGCATCAAGGGAGAAGAGCACCAGCAGAATGTGGGGCCCTATACAGAAAAGCAGCATTGAGAGAGGGAGCAGCTGAGGACTCCAGGCTCATGGAAAGAGAAAGGCTGTGTGCTGGAGATTGGGGGGATGGGGAACGGGGGATGGGAAGAGCCAGGAGAGTTAGGGAGCCATGACAAGCCAACTCGGCAATAGATGCCTACCCATAATATTAGTTGTATTACTTTTTCCAAATCTGACCCAGAAAATTTCGCCAGGGCTCACATACTGATAGTATTTGGGTCAAAGACTTAGAAACACAAAACTGAATTAGTTACCAGGATTTAGGGGGAGGAAAAGGAGGTTAAACATAAACTCCAGATTTCTGGCTTATTGAAAAATAAAAACAATGAGAAATCTGGTTTTACTGTCCCACATTCCACATGACTGACTACACTTGAGCATGGCTGCCAAAGGTAAAAGGGTTGCCCTGTTCTGCTAGAAACATTCCCACTACATCCCATTACCTTTTGAAAACCATGCTTGATCCTTGAAGTCTTTGAGGGTGACCTCTATGCCACTTAGGAAAAAGGGCAATCCCATTGCTGCTGTGTGTCATGTTTAGCAACCTAATGTAACTCAATGTCCATACACACAAATGAACTGAGTTTGTTTTAAAGACTCAACATAACAGTTCCATGTATTTTACAGTCTGTGTGTCCAACTGCAGCAAAGAATGCATCCATAAACTTGGCAGTATGGATACAACTTGTGTCTGATTTGGTACAGACACTGGTGTCCAATGAACATCCTAATAACAAGTAGTAGCAACGATGAGAGAAAAATAATTTATCTGGTAACTTGCAAACATACAATGCTCTCTTAATAGTATGGCCTTAAAGAGAAATTGGAAGGATTGGAACTCATATTTATTAAACCCCTTTAAACGTACATTTCCTACATACATCATAGGAAATATTTAAGGTCATCAATAATTCATAGTCATTAATAGGAGGACGGTCACTTTAACGGTGGGACCAAGGGCAAGTCACATAGCTTCTGTAGCTCTGTTTCTTCATTTATATAAATGAAAGAACATGGAATGCGATGGTCTATAAGAAATTCTCCAATCTTTGAGACTGTAACTATTCTACGTGATTCTGCCCAATGAAGAAGGGGGTGGATATGTGATAGTGGTTAGGGAGGACAGCATGTGGAGGGCACC